CGAAGGGGCTGTCGATCAACGGTTGTTCAGGGCCCAAAAGACGACGTTCGCCAAGGTCGCATTTATCGTCCTCCTATAGCTCGAGGTGATAGTTTGTGAACAGTAATTGTCAGCTACGCAGCCCTATCGTCAGTAGTAAGAAGTTGACCTAGCGTATGTTGACTTGGCGGTTTAATTGACGATTTACTCCCAAGAGGCTGGTAGATGACATTTTGGTACTTGTGCATAAGGTAGAATGCGAAGGCGCAACATAACGGGAGAAAAAAATGCTTGTATCTAACACTTGCGTCCAACGGAATAAGCGTATGATGTACAAGAAACTCCACTCCATATGATTTTTCACGCACCCTACCACTCAATGCATATCGGGCCGTGTATGTGCTTAGAAACGCTGGAGAGATTGTAATATGGTTATTATATTTGTAATAGAGACAAATACACGTCAGACACGAAGAATAGTCAATAAAATATAATTTTTATGGAAAATCAAATCGAACTCATTCGAAGGGGCTTGCTAGCGAAAAAGAAACACAACACTTTTATTACACAGTAGATCATTTAGTTAAACGATCTAGATGGAAGATAGTATAATAACGGTTCTGCTTATTACATATTAACAAGATTTTTTTTTACACTTTTTAGTGCTGATTGTAGATTTATTTCGTTTTAAGCCTATGCTTAACTTAAACTAGTTTCATAAAGCGCCATATGCACAAACTTGATATCGGCTACATCTATAGTTAGAAAAACGGCTGCTCACAAGGAAAGTATCCCATTGGCCAGCAGAATGCTTGGAAGCTAAACGAAGATAGGGAATCAGGGTATGGGTTCGATAGCCCATTTTCTAGATACAAACAGATCATTGTAGGGTACATAGCAAAGGACATGGCGTTCATAAAGTTGGGACTCCTCGCTACATTTAGTACAATTTTTTTAGACAATTTATGCTGCGTTCTCGCTGTTGAAAAACATTAGCGAAGATCCATAGCCACTGGTTCTATCGAAATCCACTAGCACTAACTCATTGAGTTGGCTCCTCTTACGAGACTCAAAGTCAGACGACTTGTTGAAAATGTCAGAAAGCATCCTAATCTAAGAGGGTTGACTAGACCTCACCTACTTGACAAATAAATGTTATCATCATTTGCAATGTTCAGATCGTCTTTTTTTTTGTTATTATTGCTCAGCAAATGCGTTCTTCTAGTGAATCAGCGGCGGTACACATTCTGCGTTTAGCTAATTCGTCTGAAAGATGACGCAGTGCCTGGTGGATTCCGAAGCATTTGCCTATAGTGTTACAAAGGGCAAGATATCTTACGCTAGTTACAGGCTATTTCGTTTTATAATGAAATATGTAAAATGACGTTTCTCTAATATTGCTATACAATGGCCATGCGTGTACCATTATTGCCGCACTTGCATTGCGTGCCCTTGTATAACCATCGGGTATTATTCCTATTTGTCAGCTTGTTGAATTTAATTTTGTTGAGACACTTCGTAAAAGCTGTTGTACATAAGACATAGTCCTATGCAGAGTGCCGATACAGGTGTGGTTAAACGACATTTTTTAGCTTTGACGCAGATGATATCTGTTGTCCGCCTCTGATAAACGCTCATAAATGTCCTTATGGAAGAAAATAATGCTTCAAGCGGAAATAGTAAGCTGCCTTGAGAAAAATAAATGTCCAAACTGTGGCTCACCGCTGTTGAAGTAATCATAGAAAGCCTAGGTTTGTTATTAAATTTTAATCTAGACCAGTTAAGGCTAGTTAAGGATTCATGAAATACAGCCATTTCCAGGCTGATAGCAAACATGCCAGCTAATGATTGACAAAAGCTTTTTTGTAGAGCATAACAGGAGGAAGACCAGAAGGAAGGCGCGGTCTTTAGTCAGTTGTCAAGCAATTGTTATCCCTAAAAATTATACTTCTTTTATCGCTGAAACGGCATGCTAATAATATATTTATAGGATTTGAGAGAAAACGATCACAATTGCAGTAGTCTCAAGTTAAGGAATTAAGAGAACTTTTTTTTTCTCTGCCTGTTACAATTTTATTACCAAGTGAAAATAAATGCTATTACACATGTTTACTGGTTACCTTGAGTTGGTGTGCAAACGGCGGCTTAGGGACTCACAGACTTTTATCTTCATTTCGAGACCATCTCGGACACAGAAAATAAAACAAAGACAATAATATAAAGAACGTAAGAATATTTAATAAGGAGAACTTGACGATTTAAGAAGAAAATCCTTAGCAAATGTTTCACAGAATAATACGTCAGTCCTGAAATGTTTGCAACATCCGAGTCAGTTTTGAATGTTGATTCTTGCTTCGCCCACCTCTAGAGATCCAATCTAATCAAAGGCGGAAAAACCGATTGTTAATGCCAAATGATGTACATTTCCTGCTAAGCTTACTGAAGACCTCGGAACGACTATGGCTATGCTTTTAATAATCGACACCGTGCCGCTGTGACGTGTTTGTGATTCCTTCAGGCTGGACGAAATAACTGGGCTTCTTTGCTCACAATGTCTCCGATCAAATCTGCTCTTCAAAAGACTTTTCCATTAAACGCGTCCGCACCCTGATTTATTAAAGGGTAACATACTTTTCTGGTAGATGGGTAATTCCAAACAGCTCCGAGCGATCAGTGTAGTCGAATGTCGTTTCGCTGACTACCAGTTGGCTCTATTCGCAAAATGCCACTGTACAAGAGGGTAGGACAAAGGAAGGGAAAAAAAACTTTAGTTTGCAATTTAGTCAACGTTTGTACTGTATTTCCTGTGTTTCTCGTATGCTGTGTACATAACCTGGTGACGGGTTCTTCTTTTAAGATAACTCAAGCTTCGAAGACTCTCGTGTCGCTTACCGTTTGCCAGGTACGCAACTCCAGAAGTCGTCTACCGTCGAAAAAGGCCAATAGATCGCAGTCGCACTGTTGTACGGAACGGCACGCGTATCAATAGCCAAATGAAATCAAAAACTGTAAACTTTCTCGTCTTATTGTCGCTATACGCAACCTGTATAGCTGGTGCAAGACGCCGCCAAAGTTCACATGGTAATACTGTTGCTGAACACATTCTTAGATTTTTTTTTTTTTTTAACATTCTATTATATTAGAACGACAATATTGAGCACAAACACGAACAAGCGTATCATGTTGGTAAAACTGGCATGGTTCGATGACTGTAGATACCTGTGTAGATAGATGTACCATAGATAGATACGTGTTTGGCTTAATTTTCATTGGAACTTATTTGATCAAAGGACATCCGTATTATTACGGATACGTTTGAATTTTTACGCACCTGCTCAAGCTACGATATACCATTTTGCAAATACTAGAATACTGTAATAGGTTGATAGTTTGTCATTCGGTAGCTCTATATCATATGTCCTCCAGTTAGAATGGTTGTTTAGGTAGCAGGTTCGCATTAGCATATATTATTTATATGCATAATGCAGAAATATTATTCATAAATTGGGGTCATAAAATGGGTCTATTAAGCAACCCCTGCTATTTTGTCTACTTTAAACGATAAACTGTATGCTGGTGAAGTTCGAGGTCCAACTCATCCATTAGAGAAATGCTAATTAGAAAATAATAAGGTAAGTAGTCCGTAATTCGCTTAGTGGAACGGAATATGCCTCTGGTGCAAGCGACTTATTTATCTTGTGCGCGTTTGATTAATGTAGCTTCTACGTGACCAACCATATAATCCAAGGAACTTGGCCATAAAATACTATCGTTAAAAGAAGCTTCAGTTTTCATAATCGTTTGTTACGCTAGAGAACATTGTATTGAAAATTTCAATCCTACTCCTGCTAATGCTATTTAATAAATGTACGATAGGACCTGTGATTTTTCCTCATGATGATCCGTACACGTGTGATACGCCATTAAATCACCCAAAAATGTGCGTCTCCATAGAACATTGCCCCCAGCTACGTCTCGTTGGACTACGGCGACTTTCGAAATTTATTTGCGGTTTTGACGTAAGTTTATCTATGCTGCTCGAGTGTACGTAGCTATTATACCTTCAAAGCTAGGATAAGAATCCTTTCTTCGGAGAAACGGACCAATATACAAAACACAGTATAAATTTGATTTAATACTACATTAATATTTGTTTTATCCTGTCCTAATGCACAGTCCTGTTCATAAAAAAAAAAAAAAAAAAAACTGTTATTTTTAATTTAGAAACGCTAGTAGTATTACCAGTTTATCGGCGCACTTACCTAGATTCTTATAGACAACCAAATTTAAATAAAAAAAATACTGTTCGGTACGTTGCACTAACTTACTGCTAAAATATCTTAAGCAATTTCCACGGATTATTAACAATTAATAAGACGTTTTTATCCCATATATGCTAAAATATATTTGAGCAAACGATGAATTTATAGTGAATGTGGATGCTGAGGTTGACTTTCGAAGCTGTGTTAGAACTGCTTTTGGCGGCAAGTCTCCAACACGAAATAGGTTTGTGCGCTTGAAGATTCGAGCCTAAGGTTCATACAGACATAATTTACATAGCTCGATTTTTATGAACATTTTTTAGGTTCAGCCGGTATCTAACATCCGTACATAATAATATTCCAGCACGACACCCCTCTTCTTTGCTGCGAGACATCCTCTGCTCCTGCGCCACCTTTTCTCGGATTGCGGCCACTTTCACCACCACCCACTTTCACCTCAGACAATTCGTTTCAACCTGCTCGGATCTCTCCCTTCGAACAGTGGTCCCATTTCTATTCCACTAATATGCACCACATCCAAACACGGCGCCCATCGTTGCAAGTCTTGCTGGTACGTTGCTCTGCAACGGGTTGATAATTTGGTCGACCAGAATATTCCCGCGAGGCAGTGCTAAACCACCACAGGCATCAGCACCTAAGCTAGGCAAATCTTTGCCTCCGGGGCGCCTCCCGCATACGGTTCAAGAATCGGTCCAAATGGAAGTAAAGCCCCAAAGTCTAGTGCAGCTGGAGGTTTTATCTCAGAAGCAGTGCAGATAATAGATATGTTGGACCATTGGGAACGAATGGACCACGCGGACGTTATTGCTGTTTTAAAAATGAGTCGGATTTTGATGTACATATGAATATGATAGAAGACTATATTATATATATTCGAGTTTGGTGCATATATTTGGTGCGTTGGTGTTAACTATTATTGCAAATATGGATAAATATATACGAATAATAAAATCATACGAAAGGTTATAGTTATTTATTTGAGTCTGGTCTTCAGAATTTCCTGGGTATGTCACTTGTTTTATCTATCAGTATAGTGCTTTCTCTAATTTGTTAAGTATTCAGGACTATATGTTAATTTTATACCGTTTGTATAAAATATACTATACACGCATTGATATACTCAAAAATAGTGTTCTTCATTTCATACTAAAAATATGACGGTCCTTCAATTAAGTATAGTGCCCTATGCCGATGCCTAGTCTAATGTCGGTGATGTGTTTAACGGTGCAGACGTGACCTTGCGTAGTATCCATAGTGTTTTCGACGGTTCCTTCCAGCTTCATGGTCGACTCGGTGTCTTCGTTCCCTTCCGCACAACTTGTAATAGTCTCCTTTGCTGCGTCCATGTTTGCCGTGACCCTCTCTCTATCGACCACTCCCGCGACGGTGCTTATCCTCACCTTTCCTTATCGCTGCTAGTAGTAAGACCCATGCTTTTCACCGCCTTCATTGCGGCCATAATCCTTTCGATATGTATTTGATCTGTAATCGTATAGTGTGTCGAGCATCTCGTCAAAGTACAGACCATGTTGATGCGATCAGGACATATTGTATGCTTCATGTTTCTCATCATGACGGTTCTTGTCACCACTCTGCCCATTCCGATTTTCTGAAAAATGATGATTGCGCCATCCGTTTCGATCCCCGTACTGGCCTCCGTCCCGGTTGCCCGCGTGCCCTACGTTGTGGTTTCCTCTATTTCGGCCTCGATGCCCGCTTGAGTGTTCTGCCTGTTGTAGTCGGTGGTGGCGAGTCTCTGATTTACCGTTGCTTTAATGTCCCGCATTACCGCGCCCGCTTCTATAATCGCCACTTAGGTCGAATTGAGCCCGATGTCGGTTATTCGCATAGCGTGACTCGGGCGTAGGTAGATCATTTCAAGCGAGTTCGAGCTTGCCATCGTCTCCGGTTCTTCACTATCCGTTACGACAATCCAACGTACTACGATTTGACTGCTCGTAGCATGACGACTTTCGACGTACAAATAATGTCCAACATCCAGTGATAGTACAAGGAGTGTTATTTGAAGTTTAAGAACACATTAAAATAACTCCCCTCTACGATTATTTGCTTAGAAGATTGGTTTAAGTAGAATACATACACAGTTACAATACAGAAAGAATAAGGCATTGCATTAAATTAAACAACAACAACGTTGCCTGATGGCTAAAGTTTGTCCAACGCGAAATGTTAAAAGATACCACCGACGCTTGTAAAAATCTTTCAAGTTTCAAAAAAATATTTTTCAAGTTGAAATGGCGATATCGTTTTGTGAAACTAAAAAGAGGATGTATTGAGTGATGTAATAAAGTCCTGGAAGGACGAACTAAATTTGATTTGGAAGTCGCCGGGATCTTGCCACAGACGGATGCGTGGATTGTGTTTTTTTGCTGGTGACTGCTCGTTCGGTACGTTTGGATTCCTTGCGTCGACCGCGACCGGGTTCAGGATAGTCTCAGAAAATGTGTTGCCGCCACTTGTGCTTCTTGCATAAACTCGTTCTTGTCTGTCTTTGTCCTGTTTATGAAAAATTTCTTTGGAGTCAATCGCGCTCTTTTTGTACTTGCCATGATGTAGATCATCGTAGTACGTTCTGTGGTCGCCATGCTCCTCCCTGTAGAACACCTTCTTATAACCGTGGAATTTGCCGCCTTCAGCTGATGCTATTAGCTCGACTAACATGAGCAACGTAAAGAAAAAAAACACTGACAACGAAGGCTGACGTTGGTAAGAAAATGAAACCGGCTCTTTTACTGTGTCTGAAGGTGTACCCACCTGAAATTCACTCACGTACGCGTGTGATTTCAAATGAAATATGTGCCTTATTTTTTCCGCTTAGTCGAAAGTATTTCGTTTCTAAAGTACTTCTATGAAAATCAAAAATGTTCATCGAGTCTACAGTGTATCAATCGATGTGGGCCATTGTAATATGTAAAGTAATACTCTAAAACAGAATATGTAGTTTCCCCATTAAAGAATGAATACAGTTTTAGCCTACATTTCCCTATCGACGTAACTAGTATTGTCGCGTTAGCACAATTCCTATAGCCATAATGTATATATAATTACTCGCAAATCACGTGCGGAACGCGCGACAAACCCTCGCGTTGAAGTTGCATTGAACCGTTCTCATAGAGCCGGTTGTACGGACAATGTATGACTCGATTTTTCTAGGCTAACGGCATCTGCTCTGGGGTGACGCCACGAAAAAAAAAATGATGCCAGTTGATATTAAAAGGTTCAACACCGAGCTGCTTGCCCTTTAAATGATCTGTCGAACTCGCGAGCGGTCTTACCTTAAAACCAAGGCAGCACTAACTTCCAAAATGAGAATCGCTAACGGCACTTACCACAAGTCGCCGAAGACGCCAACGGCGTTCACCTGCCATATGTCGTCGTCGCTGCTTCAATGACGCGGTTTCAAAATCTGAGAAATCAGTTAACTAGCGTTCGAAGATCGTTGCCGTCCGACCTTTCAGCAACTGAGCTAGTCTCTATGATGTAGAGACATTTAAACGCGCCAGCAAGCATAGTACGGAAGGAAACGGTAAGAGTAAGTTTTTTTTGCTTTAAACACTTGCCATTTGCTCACTGACGTAAGAATAGAAGCTGCGCTTGTCAGGGTGCTTATTGGAGCGAGCCTATATAGAGACACAAATAGGCTGGATGCACATGGAAAAAGAACACTTTTAAATGTTTGCATTGAGAGGCTTTATCTAGACCTGACTAGGTGCATTTCAATAAATTTAAAACAATGAAATATTGGAGCAGCTATTTCAGTTTCATGCTTACCTTATCAATGTAATTATTTGTTTAACGCATCGAAATGAAAACGGTTAGGTACCAACTTAACGAGGCAATTTATTTCATAGAATCTTACAGCTGCTTACAGCTTTGCTTGTGCGCAGTTTCTTGGGGAATAGTTGCATTTGTACAACGAACTCCTGTATGCACTATGCAGGACCTATGCAATTTTTTAATATGACTTGCCCTGAGGTCCATCTACATACAAGCGGTAACATCGATGATAATAATTCACTTATCACCGCCCCATCCTGCGGCTGCGATATGGTAGTTCTTGAATTCTAGAATCGGTCCAATGACAGGATTCATTTGCGATATGAACGTACCAAGGTAAAAGGTGTAACAGCAGACTGAAGCAGTTACTAACATTGTTTGAATAAGGCCACGGTTATCACCTGACGGAATCAGCCAGGGCAAAATGCATCCGACAAAAAACCAAATTCCTGTCACTATCCACACCGAGGTAAGCTGGAAATCATCTAGCATCGTGGCGACGTCGGGTCACTCCTTGTCCTGTTGACACTATTCCAATGCACTGGCTTGACTCTGTCTCATTTGACTACAACGAACAAGCCCACCTGACGTTCCTATTCTATCGAAATGATAAACGCAAACTTACATTTTGACACTGCTAAGATAGAAGGCCTGCACTATGATGCTGCGTAGCCTCGTGACAAGGATTAGTATTCACACATTGTATAGTTTCCCACCGCTTTTAGCGGCAGACCAACCGACTCGAAAGAAACCTATGTAACCCGGCTCATAAGGCCTTTTGAAACAAGCTTCCATTTGAACGACAGCATTTACAATGACACGAAGCCGAACAATCATCATTTTGCTATTTTTAGGCTTTTAGGCTGAAAACTTTTTACCGAATTCTGCTTCTGAACCGGTAACTACTTGCGTTTCCTGTGTGTGGTTGTGCCCTGACTGAAGTGTCAGCGCGACGTACCATGGGGCCAAAAACAGTTGGAACAAATTTTGAGGGCTTACAGCTGGATAATTATTTCGAAGGTTTTTTTAATTGGAATTTTTCGCGATGCGTGGGAAATGTGTGATCTTTTTGTGTTTCTCATAGCGGGTTCCAAAGGCTTTGCTTTCTAAAAACGGCATTTTGTCTCCATAACATTCACTTTATCGCACGAGTCGTGCATGGAAAGGTTGCTGAATAATGCTGGTGATACACATTCATTTATATACAGTGACTATCACGGCTGCGACTAGAGAAGAATTTTTTTGATATATACAATCCGTCTGACACTTATGAAACATCAGCCATATACGTTAAATATGAAGGCATACGAGCTTCGATAGATCTAAATAAAATAATGTATAGATGTTTCGTAACACTTGTTACCAATGCTTTCTTTTGCCATGGTATACCATCTCTGGTAAGCTATAAAAATCAGTCGTCTGGTAAATAATGCATGTTACTAAATGATAGTTTATAATAGACAATTACAGACCTAAGATTGAGAGTTAAACGGTAAAGGAAGACCAACTTGGTATTGGCTACGTTAAGAAATCGATAAAATTACTTCAGAAGTACGACAGGATGTGATGCAAACGTAAGCATTTGGCAATTTTTGTTTAGTTATATTATATCCTGCGTAACTTCAATCAACTGAATACCTAAAAACAAACATTTACGTTTCTTCGTCCCTTCAACGGAAAGGATCGAATTTTCAATTCACACATCTTTGAGTTAGAGACTTGAAAGAAATACCTGTTCTTTTTTTCAGGCTATATGCAATTTAATACGATATTTGCTATCTCATGAGTAACATTGTAAGTTAAGCACTGCCAGATGTTTTAATAGCTATTCAGGATTCCTACCGAAGCAAACAAATCATAACAGGCTCAGATAAAACAATAATGTAGAACACGTGTACATTTATGATTAAGCTAATAAGATACGTGAATTGATACTGGAGTTTGATAAAAAAAAAAAATCAAAAACGAGTAAAATAGTACGTTTTTGCTAATTATACGACGCGATACGGGTGCGCCACTGACTTTTGTCAGACATACTTCCACAATGAGTTTGCATTCAGCTAGTCTCTATGCTGATCGACACAGGATAAGACCCGATGTCATTGAATAACTTCGTTTGCTACGCCAGTGTAGAGCAATGGCAGAAGACAAAAGGAATCCTCTTTAAAGCGTGACTATAGACAAAAAATAACTTTTTTTAAATTTTTTAATCAAAGCATTGAACAGAGGACTTCCAGAGCTTTTTGTATAGGTTAGCTGCAAAGGCTTCATTTACTAGTCTGATCAAAACCTTTAATTAACATAGCATGATGGTATTACATAGAAACTAAAAAGCAATCGTTTGAACCAATAGGCCAAAAAAGCTCACCTCTTATCGTGTAACAGTTTTGAAAGGTCCTTTTTTTTTTTGACTTACGCTTATTGATAGCGTGACTGTGCGAAGAAGTCGGTCAACGCATCCAAGCAAACAATGTGATTCAATTAATTTGGTGCAGCTTTGGAAAAGTTTGCGGTTAATAGTTGCGTTTTCATATTTCATTTCACTTCATATCTCGTGTTACTTTCATATTACTATGAGGAAAAATATTCAGCGATAGGCACAGCCTTATGGGTGAATAATCCTCGTAGAGGCTGATTCAGCCAAATACTGGAGGCAGCAAAATTCAATATAATTCAGTTAATAAATATATAACCCTTAATCAATTATATGCTATGATTATAAAAGATTGATATCATTGTAAAACTTTTAAGGATACGTTCGTTATTATAAAAAGCTATTAGGTATTCGCTGTTTCTTTAATGAAACAAAACCAACCTACTGATTATCAACAGAGCAAAAATCAATTTTCGTTGAGGGTAGGTTATTTAATTATTGAAAAGGCAAGAAAAATTGCATTATTCTTAGTTTATGGTGACACACGTCTGGCATAGAACGTTTTTCAAGGCCTGTGCCAAAATGAAAAATAGATGAAAGGGAAATAATGATATTTTGAGCTGGACTATTTTCCTTCGTTTGCTCTATTTAGGAGTCTTTGATTTATTACTATAAAGAGAATTTCACGCTTCTGAATATAAAATTTCGCGAAAAGTTCCAAGAATTTGGCCGTTAATAAAACAATTTCATTCTAACTAGGAAATGCGGTACGCATAGGAAGGTTAGAAGATGTCATAGTTTTCATTACTGCACTTTACACGCGCTCTTCTTGAGGCGTTTGCCCTTCCGTCGCCGCTTCCGTGCAAGCGTTTTTGGTCGGTCAGCTGGTAGTACTGTTTCTAGTAGTACTGCCAGTTTGCAATGTGATTCCGTAACAAATAATAATTTCGAAAGTAAAATTCGAAGAGCTGCTAACAGCAGTGCAACCGGTAACATTCACATATGAGTGAAGTGTATTAATCAGACTATTGAACATGTTGAGCTTGATCACTTCATCTGTTTCGTACCGTTTATCGAATAATTCAGACGTCGCTGGTCATTAAAATTTATCAAATAACACAACGGATACGTATACCTTGTTCGCTTTTTTTTTTTTCTCTCTATGCGTCTGCCATCAGTGAGAATTCTCACTACGCGTCCACAAACATTAACATCGGTGTTATCGTTCGACCTGCGCCATTGGCTGGCTTAGCCCAAGCACAAATATTATCTTCAAATGGGTTTTCGAGCAAAAAGAATTCAAATAAAGAAAAGAAACAAGTGAAGTCAATATAAAGGGTAAATGGCTAGATGAATACCCATGTAGCCTCTTCATCACAGTTATGACTTGACAAGATACTGCCCGCGCGCTCAAGTAGAATTGAGAGAAGGGAGTTATCTCGTGCAGGGCATCAGTAGCTGATTCGCGAGGATACTGTAGCAGTGGCAAGTGGAAGTGATTGTCGTCTCCATCGTCTTGCTAGATCTTTATCGTCAGGATCCTTCAGCGCTGCGAGTAGAAGTGAGTGAACCGGGGAAAGGAACCAGAGAACCAGTGAGGAGCGGCGAGCGCCAACGAGCAAGGGGGCCGAGTCGCCAAATCAACGCTGGTTATAGTAGTACTAATGCCGGGATATGCTATATTCATCGCACTAGTGTCGGTTGCTTTTTTACGTCTTGGCTGGCGTTGCCCCCTCCACCTCGACTTCTGAACGCACTTTCTGTGCGTGTCCATCTATCTATCCGTCTCTGTATGTGCGAACATGCGCTAGTGTATGGCTATTTCCCGTACCAATAGCCGTGCGAAGGGCCGATGGACACCATTGGCTTGCTGGTGCTAGCCTTTGCTTCTTCTTTTAACGCTGCCAACACCAATAGCACCGCCTCAGTAGCGACAGCTATCGAGTGAAATTGGCCATTACCGCCGCAGCCTCCGGCACTGTGAGCACAGTGAGGCTCCTTTAGAGCGCATACTGCTTTGCCGGCAAACAAACAGAAGCCTGTAGCAAATTCGGATACACACTCACAAATCTGGATTTACACATACAATTATTGTACCATCAAACGCAGGGGTTGTGTGACGTCGAACAAACACCGAAGGCGAAGAGGAGGGAAAGAACGATACAGAAAATATACGCAGTGACGGAAGTTTTGCTATTGTTGCCGATAGCGGTTCTGGCTTCAACCAACCGAAGGCAACATCATGTTACTTCGTTGGGTGAGTGTAACGTTTCCGTTTGATCAACGAGACAGAAGAATACTGCAAACGAGCTGATTGATCGATTGACAGGGCCAATTAAAGGTTTAATAAGCGACAACTAGAAACGACGACACGACAGTCACTTGCAGCACAAAGGACACTCATTTCAGTATTTTCTTATGTTTACGCATACGTTATCCGTGAACCTAAAATACATACAAGTTAGATGAGTACGTTGTTATCATTCGTGTGTTAACGCACATACTTTCAAGAAATCTTAGCGGCAGAATTGTTCGTCAATCTATAGTGCATTCGTCTATTAGCAGACCTGTGGGCGAAGACCATCGTACGAAGGCCACGCTAATCTGTGATGATACTTTCACTTCGCCTCTATGTATCAGAAATACTTCATTGTTTGTGGGTTCATTAGTTGCATATATTGAAAACGTAGGTACGGTATATCTGTATAAAGCTCATGTGAGGTAGCATTATTCTACATAAAAGCCCGTCTGTAACTCAGATTGTGGCCAAACTTGCTCAAAGTACCCGACGCATTTGGCCCCACTTTGATATTTTGCCCCGTTGCTAGCTTGGGATCGAGTGGTTTAGCGGCGCAAAAATATTAATCATCATACAACAGCACATAACACGGCGATAGCAGCGAAAGTAGTTCCGTGCGTCGAAGAGAATATAACAATCGAGCGGTATCATCAGTCCTTCACAGGTGAAACTGTGTAAAATTTGCGAAGCATAATAGCTGGCAGGTCGGTAGCACTTTGTCTGCTAGTTTTTGTTTGCATCTTTATGTAGTTGTGAGATTTTTTTTATTTAAGATACCCTCATTTTATCAAAGGTACTCAGGTTCTCTCTCAACCACAGCTCTCATGCTTCTATGTTGTAGCGTTATATATGTCCATCGACTCACACGAACTGTGATGTTTGATCAAGTTATGTTATAAAAGAGGTTTCGGGCGGAAGTTACTGTGGATCGACCTTTAGGTCTGTTTGAATTGTCGATAGAATGACGTTAATGACGAAAGGTGACCCCTTCGCCAATATATGAAGTCTTCATTATGTCACCATGGCCATAGCTTTCTTGTTTTTATGGGGCTGGTAATATCATTTCCGCGATAGTTATGTTAATGAGTTCCGTTTTAACAAGGGATGTATATGGTCTCCGACTGGTTCTAGACAAGACAAGTAAACAAGTTTTGAAGGCCGCCATTTTGATCATCGTACGATGTAGCCTAAAGTCATATCATACTACAAGTCGTATGCTACATTTGATCATGATAATGACAATTATGATTTTTTCCCGATGTCTAGTTTCATCGTTGTACGGTCTTAAATCAGTGGTCGGTTTCTGCTCATTTTGTCATTAATGATAGTGAATAATGTCTATGTAGTTTTGTGTTGTATAATCACAAATAAAATTATGAAATGTCTTCAGAGCTTTGTATTACAGTTTCTTTGTCGAATCATCAGTCTTCAGATCATCGCAGTATGAGACGAACATCGATTCGGCATCTTGTTAGAAACGGCAATACAGGTGTAACAGATATCGGATCGTTTTTGGTGATCTAAAGAGTGTAAAAGTCATTTAAGTCGATATATATTTTACGTGTCTGTAACCGCCGCCATTTCTGGTGCTGCTGCTGATTTGCGATGGTAACAGGTGTTTCACCCATTTGTTAAGCAGCTGCATTCGTTCGCTCCCTACAAATTTTCCGCAAAATTGCTTTGCTCTCCTTCACCTACACAACCTATATTACACGTTCCTTCTACATATGAGCAAACCTGAGATGTTTATGTGAATAGAAGACGCTTGAGCAGTACGATAATCGAAGCTTGTACCTGTTAAACTATACCTACATAAATTTCATAGTAAATTAAGAAAAGCGGTCCTACTATACAGCAGAATAGTACCGATTGGGAATGAATTTTCTCCAAGTCCGAAGGTTATACGGCGCAAATTTGGGATTTATACAGAGGATTTTGATTATTTTCTTTGTATTTATTATTTATAAATGCATGGCGCTGAGTTGATTCAGTGAGTGCCTATATTGTTCCGATATTGCAAAAAAAAAATGTATGTCTATCGGTACAAAACAAACCTTATTCAAAGAGCAGGTTGTAAACATGCTGACGGGGAACAAAATGCTAATTCTCAATGCCATATCAAATAGAGCTACTCGTTGAAGTCTTTAAAACATTAATATTACAGAAAACCCAATAGCCAGTAAACTTGACGATTTTGAAACTCATTCACGCAGATTTGGATTTTATTTAGGGAAATTCTGCAGTTTTCCTCCAATACAAATATGCAAAATGACCCAGATATAACTGACCCGGAAGACACTTATCAGAATCGAGATTGGGTTGGCTCCATTGCCTCGTGGCGCCATAGAACTTAATGTACGAACGTGCCAAGATGTAAGAAAATTCTCGCTGATTTTCAGGTGTCGTAAAATACTGCCGTAAGCTCTTAATAGTTGCAGAGAAAGCAAAAACATCAACGTTCTATAATATTAAGGACGATGCAGTTTTAATTTATTTACTTAACGTGATATAGAGGTAAGCTATAGAAAAAATTACGTTGAAAGCTATGGCCGCAGCGTCGACTAAAGTGTTGAGACACTAATTACTACCGATTACCCAAATAGTGAGGTTGGTTCCTGATATTATTTTGGCTATGGTGAATTTATTTTAAAAAGTCTTAAATGTTAATCAAATCTAACCTGCCATAAACACTTCGCAAAAGTGAACACATCTTGGATCAAGCTTGTTAGTGAGCTGTTTTGGTAAAGGTCCTTTCAGTGAATGGAGACGGCCCGAGTCCTTGATTCATAAGCGAACTGCCGGCCGCTGGGGTAGCGCCGACTGGCACTTGCCTATCTTGATGAGTTTCACTTTATTTTTGAACAAGAAGGCGGCTAAGTGCTGGGTGTTAGATTACCAGGGCTTTGTTACCAGAGGGGCGAAGCTGAGGTGACCCTAACGCGCGCTACACCCTCTTGTTTTCTATAAGTGGTTGCTTTACATTAACTTGGAGATGGGAAGAATGACGTTGGTAACATCACCCTATGATTACGAATTGCGCTTTGTTTAGTTTTGTGCTGTTTTCGAAAAACCCTCTGTCACGTAATAAGTAATGTTGAACTGGTTGATATCAATTCTAATAATATCTACTTCACATCCATTGTTAGATAGGTGTGTGAGACTTGAAAAGAACAGGAATAGTTTAGAGTTGGGCAAAACTTTGTAAATTTTAGTAGTTGGCTATATTAATAGACGCATTTCCCTGCACAGCCAAGTACCCTTTGAAGGAAAAAAACGCTATACAATATAGTGTCAAAAATGGAAATCTAAAAGCAATTAACGAGTTCTATTTGCGCACTTTTACGTAAAATCACACCACTTACTGAACTTTATTTACGGATGGCTTTGTAAATCTTTTTGTCTAAGCAACGTATTGCATCCGGTTGCCAGTATTCTTGGGAAATGGGGTTTTCGTTTGAAAAAATGATATAGGAAACATTTGATACAGACCTGAACAATACGCGGACAGAGCAGTATACGTATAAGCGGTCCCACTAATGGCAGATCCTTACACTTATTCATTAACACTGAAGAGGATAAAAGACGTAGCTGAAATAACTCTAATTTAGTCTAGCTAAGTCATCATAATTTGAAAGTAGATGAAATAAGAGTCATCCAGGCAATATATAATATACCAACGTGCTTACGAATTTCTCACTTGTTTTGCAGTGCAATTCTATCTCTGTAGTGACATTATTCCCTTTTTAATTTCAGAAAATATTTTGCTTGATGGGCATAGTTTCACTAACTGCGAGGCCGAGCACCTCAGAAACGAATGTCCGTTCTCGTCAAAAACGAGGAGGTAACATTTAACATCAACTTACTGTAAAACGATTGAACCCATTTTATTATTACCTAGAGCTGCCTCGTTAATTGTGAGTATTTTGAGTGATGGTCTTTTTAATCGATAGGTCTACTGAACTTGGACGTACGACTTGACCTGTTTAGAAACCAGCGGCGTCAACAGGCCACAACGTCAAGGCCAGAGGCCCGAATACTGCCGTTACCTCCAGGTACCGATGCAGAGGACCACGGGATACCCATCAAGGACGAATCTGTAATACAGCACTTTATAAAGCAGCTCGAATCGTATCGAAAGCGCAACTCTGGCCTGGATAGTTTTCCCATTCTTAGCGGAATAATTAAAACGGTTCGTCGCTTCCAAGCATGTGCAACACCGAAACTCGAAAAAGGCCATTGCAGGTACTTTTAAAAAAGGCTCTTGGCATTTATGCAGATCATCTGTTAATGTTATCGCAGTTAACGATTCTTTAATAACATAGTTGATTGGCTAATAGCTGGCATCTGGCTAATTTGGATCTAACTTTGTCCTTAGAGAAATAGGTTCCTAATAAAGTGTTCGATACCTCAACTCGGATAGAAGCATTGCTAATCATGTTCAAGAATCTTCTACGAGCTCGTACCTTGCTTTGAATCGTGACAGTTACTGAAAAATACAATTTTCATCTACACACCTTGCTCGTGGGGAGAGGATCGTCGTCGATATATATGATTTATCCAGTAACACCGACTACCATAAATATTAATATATTCTAGATTCAAATAAAAAGACTTTCACTTGATATATGCATGATATATTCCTTCATGATAACGGCTCACTTGTTACGATCAACAGACACGTACAGCACTGCGTACTGCCAGCTTTCCTTCGCAATATCAACGTATTATTGTCGTATGCATGCTTCATCGGTGGAGCGCATCTCGGCGTGTGTTGTCCAGATCGTCACTTTGATGAATCCATCATTGATGACGGTGGTGAGGAGGAACCAACAACAACTACGAAGCGACCGGGAATTCTTGGTGGTCTAATGAACCCACTCACAGAGATAATTTCACCGATTCGGCCTACTCCCTCCGACACACCTTCCAGACCAGATATACCTGAGGTGATCAACGGATCACCGGAGTTGCAGTCTGGTAAGTAAGTCAACAAGAACTTTCGTTCGTAATTCATAGCGAATGCGAATCCCTATTGTATGATGAAGCGCATGATTCACAACAGTGGTACGGGATATACGAGACTGAATGAGAGCGAACACCACTTGGTATGCATGTTTCCCACTAATGAGGTAATGCAATAGAAAATAATATCTGCGGAACGTGCGCATACGATTAAAGAAATCTGGAAGTAGTTGGCAGGTTCAACGTTGGGGGTCTAGCATTGTTTTTCTGCTTCGAATTAATCAAGTCTGCAGGCGAGGGCACGAATCATACTGCTTCGATACCGACTGGGTGGAATGCTCCTAATAACGCTCTCGCATCTGCTGATGAATTCAACTTTGACAGCATGTATCCACCTGGGCCGCGGCCATTTTACCAGCCATATTCACCACAGCTTCCACGGCCTTCAGGTCGCCGCAAACCCCCATTCGGTCGACCTGAATATTTTCCCCCGACTAATCGCTTTACAGGCGTTCCGAATGATCCGTTCATTGAACCTCCTTATCGTCATCCATCACATGGACGCTTTCAAGGTCCGCCACAAGAATCTCCGTATAATCCTTACGGAATACCAGATAAACCCCCTCATAGGCGACCTCACGGTTCACATCGTCACCCGCCGTACGGAAGACCACCTCGTAGGCACCATCACAGGCCTCCGCACCAGGGAAGACCTGCATACGAGCCAGACTACTATCCTGACGCCAACCAGGGTACCGCTAATGGTGAGCCACCCGTAGAGATCAGCAACTTCTTCAGCCATTGCCATCGTCTTTGTAATCTACGACGCAAGAATAGCTCAGGAAGAAGGAGAAGGCGTGTTTGTATTAAACAATGCTGGCTGCTGTTTATTGAAGAGGACTCAGCCAATAACGACGACCACTGCGATGAAGACTGGGCTACACAGACTGGTAGAGCCCGCAACGAGACGGCAGTTAGTGTTGCCGGCCAGTGACACAACTGCAGTAACAGTTAGCAATTAGATTTATAAAGTAAAAAGATGTCTAATTCGACCTCGATTATAGGGTAAACTTTTGCTACGCTGTATGTCGCAGTGGTGATACGCATATGAACAAAAAGTGCTTACTAGCAGACACATGATGCCTGGTGCATATATAAACGATTCATATTGAGCGTGTATGTGTTAAACACTTATACCTATGCAAAATACACGTTTGTATAGAATGGTAAATAAACATATTGTAGACTGCGCAGGTCATGTAACTTATCTTACTCCTCATACTGACACAGGTAGACCGAGCGAAAGGCTAGAATTCACAACAGAGTCTTCGCGATTCCCGCTCATAACGTCCCGTTATGATAAAGCCGAGGAAAACGATGGCCGGTTTGTCATAACCCTTTCCACAACTGTCATAAGAGATTCCCCTTTCATCTTTAATGCTGGTAGCAGTACTGATATGTACACTTATAGCACAAAAACCAAATATCCTTGGGAATCCACGATTGCGTGGTCTAAGGGTAAGCCGAGTGCAAAAAAGCTCAACGCAGCTCGCTTTGGCAGTATTCTACATAGGACCGTCCTAAGATCCCGTATTCCAGATGCATGTGTGTACATGACCCCAAAGCGACAGATCGTAGCATGAAATTAAGCTCTATATAAACCCTTACTGATCCGAAATCCTTAAATAGCACGGCGTTGTATCTTAAAACGAGCCAAATGAAACAGTACCTAACATGCAACGTTTATCAGTTTTCCTTCTCTCTTGTATACAGGCGTTTCGCATGAGAAATATATTTTCAACATTTAGTTCCACTTCAGCCACAATTAACTGATAGTCAATTATCCATAGCATAGAGCAAGTATAGAGAATAAGGATCCTCTAAGCCACGCGTACTATTGACTCTCACATGGATAGCTCTCTTACGACAGCAGACAGCTTCGGGATCTCCTTTGTATCTATATTCCCATGAGTAAAATATTGACGTTTGTCGTGGGCACCCTGCTCTTCGTTCTGCAATGCAACATGGGCAAAGCATAAGCGCACAGTTTAGTACGATTGCAAATAACAAAAAAAGAACGTGTTGTAATAGGTATAGTTCAGAGATAGTATGTTTTTGCTGACAAAAAAGGCCAATTTCAATGAGGAAGAACGCGTTGTAATGTCTGAAGCTGATCTGATGTCAACTGGCGACTTGTGGCATCTGCTGCAGAACCCTCGTACGAAGATGACAAACAAGGCGAGGACGTCTCTTCTGCAACGAGGCCCTACTCTCCTCCAACCAGTTCGCCTACATATTCGTCCGCGCCTACAACTACATCAACCCAGACGCCTCAACCACAGACTGAGGACAATCCAGCCAACGGCAGCCAAATTACAAAGTATTCAGCGAGTGAGTTAATTTTACAGCAAAACACGTGTGCAAATTACATTAAATAGAGATTGCTTTGTCATAGCTTCGGCCTCTAACGATTGACTTGAAAAATTATATTTTAGTTCCCGTTAGATCATTAAACACATGCAAGCAAACATTTCGAACTCGGACCCGGCTGCCGATGGATCGAAGGCCTTATGAGATGCCAAAAATGCTTACAGCCATATCTCATGCCATGCGATAAAGGTTTTATTATTATTATTATTATTATTATTATTATCATTATTATTTTAGGTAATTGTTTTTTCTAAATATTTAGTAATGTTCAATTTAGCAAAAAGTAACACACACACCAATGCTAGACTCCAAAACGTCAGTTGGTGTTTCAAATGATATTATTTCTTTTTCTAAACCCGACTCTATTCGAAGAACCTCTACCGACCACAATTACCAAGCAATTAAGGGGCTCCTTATTGAATTAATTTTCAGCTTGTGGCTTGGGCATAAAGAGCAGAATCGTCGGAGGCGAGGTCGCCAACGTGGAACGATGGGCGTGGGTTGTAAGTCAAAAGGCCGAAGATCCTAATCGAGAATGTTAAATGAATAGTTTTTGACAAGCACCTATGTCTTTCTTTTGTTTAACTAAACGCTAAACTATCAAGTGCTGGTAGACACTTCATATCAAAGACGCAGGTAGCGATATAGGTTTCATTTTTTTCACTACTACCATTTTTTATTTATCGATAACCATTTCAAGAACGTTGCTCTACAGTAATGCCAAAAAATATCTATGAACGTGCATGAACATAGAAGCAAATCAGTTACGCCTGCAGAAGCTATCTAAGTGGAGATTCGCTAGCTGGCGTTCGTATAGGCAAAACCAATTTCAGCAAAAATCACATTCATCATTACAAAGTGAAAGAGCTTGATTTTAAAAATCAAACGACAGTTTATATATTATAATTTACTTATCTTTGTGCAATCTTCGGACAGTCTTTGAATAGCTTTAGCAATAAGGTGAATCAGCAAGTTTTAGTTTCGAGTGCGAGTATAATTGTACATCCAGAGCTGTTTGTCTAATGCTGGTAAAATCATCTGAAATTATGTTAGGCGCTCATGGCTGTTGGCAAACTTGAGGCTTGAAAATCACTTCACATTTCAGAGTCCATCCAACTGAAACACTTTCGTGACACGTGACATCAATTCATGTGTATTCAGTGGCCCGGCATTGCCCTTAATGTTGTGCTAATGAAAGTATAATTAATTTTGTTGATATATCTAATGAAGAGATCAGTTGAGAAATTCACCATGGAAAGCCTTTTATATAATGTGTAGCTCTGGCATTTGATACACTGTATGATACACCGAGGAAGTTTCAATTTGGTTATTCTGAGTAACAAAAATAGCAAATGTACAATTTTTAGAAGGAACGCTACAAATTTCATTATCTCAATAAAGCTATTCTCGAATGGTTTAGCAGTGTGAACTATTTTTTTTTTTGTGATCCACATGTATAGCGGTAAGTTAAAAAAGGTGGGCGTGGTTAAATCGACAAGGGTTTTCTTTTTTTTTTTCCAGAAGATATGATATTCCCCGTCTGATACTGATTCAAAATTTGATAACGACGTCCATGTGCTAGTTAAGTTGGTTGCATAATTAGAAATAAGGCTGTTTGTACTCCTGCATCATATAATTTCATTGAACTCATTGTCAATACTTAGCGGTTATTTTTCTTACATGAATGTGTTCGGGATTGATTCGGGCTTGTTACATGTACTTGATACATACTGTTACATACTTGTCACATACTGATCTTAAACACAGGCTGCATTGATGAGAATCGACAAGCGGACAAATCAGATGGAACAATTTTGTGGGGGTGTTGTGATTTCTAATCGATACATCATCACTGCAGCGCATTGCCTCCCTGGGTAAGTATAAAGTACTTGTATTTTCGACTTTGTCGAAGATCTACTTGGTTCATTCATACACGAAATGACGATGCGGTCGAAGCTGAACAAAATAGATTTGCCCCATACAACTTATCAGAAATAATTAATTATCAGTACATTAGTGCTTTATATTAAAGTGCGATTCTTCGGTGGTCGGAAGTAAAATTTATTGTACATTTTGTCTTGAAGAATTTATGTCCTTTCCAAATATTCTAATATATGTAAATTGCAGATATGAGCTTGACTGAATTAACTACTTGGAAATGGAGACATATTTTTCTGCTATATTTTAATCTAGCTTGCGCTTATTCTTTTTTTAGCGTTCATCCGAGGGAGTTGACAATCCGCCTCGGCGAATTCGACTTCAGCCAACACGAGAATAGCAGACGCCGAGACTACCACGTATCTAGAATCGTGCGACATCCACAATTCAATGAATCTAATAACAATTTCGCTGATATTGCGCTCATCAAAGTTAACGAAGATGTAAGCAAAAATTTTCAATTTAGTCAATTAAAGCATGGATTTACAAACTTTACATTATTAATCTATGCCCTGACTGTAATCCACAATATGCCAAAGGACATATGTACATTAAACTAAACATTAGAAATCAGTCCAAGTCACGCGACTATGCGTTAGAGCAGCAGTAATGTTAGAAATTAAGCACAACGTAGAAATATCACAACGCTATTTTCATGAAACACGTTCATAGGTCGTTCCACTGCAGGGACATTGTTAGCGAACGCAGAGGTTATTATGGGCTAAAACAAGAGCTACGCAGATACTCGATATCTGCGTAGCTCTTGTTTTAGTCCATAATAATCTTTTTCTTACTTTGGTTAGTGATCAGTTAAGCAGAGTCCTCGATCAGTACTGTTTCTTTATATACATCTTATCCTGATCTAAATAGATCGCCTTCAACCAAAACTTGCTGCCAGTGTGCATGCCCGAAGAAGAGTCTTTTGCGAACAAGGAAGCCACAGTGATAGGTTGGGGCGTAACTTCATTTGGGGGTCCATCCTCTAGTATCTTGATGCAGCTGACACTACCGGTGTGGGACAATGCCGAATGCCAAGACAAACTGAATACAATCGTCGTTTACCCGCAATTCCTTTGCGCGGGACTTAAAGATAAAGGTGGCCACGATTCATGTCAGGTAAGCTTATAGGATACTATCTGTCTGATGCTATATGTACTATATATATGATTATGTTCGCTATATGCCAACATTTTGTGATTTGCAGTAATCACCTCACATTTTGCAATTTACAATAGTATTAAAGTCCTAATTGTATTTTGCTTAATTTTAAAATTAGTGCCAAAATCTACAATGCTTATGCATAAAAGCAAGCATTCCTAACAGCTTTTCTTGCAGGGCGACTCAGGTGGTCCTCTAATGGTGGAAAATTCAAATAGGCAATGGTCTTTGATTGGCATTGTGTCATGGGGCTTTAAGTGCGCCCAAAAAGGCATACCTGCCATATACACCCGAGTTACTGAGTTCCGAGATTGGATATACAAGAACGCTGCATAGCCTGCACTGATCAACAATCTCACTTCCGGTCTCAAAAAGTTCAGCATCTACCTTTCATACACCAGATCCGACAAGATCACGAAAAGGTTGGCATACTCAAATATTCTGGCTTGTTATAAAATGGCTAGTCGGCCAGTAAAAAAAAAAAGAGGAAAATCTATCTTTCTACAATGACCCTGTGAAACATCATTGTGATTAGTGTGATTAAATTGATATCGATTTTGAAGTCAGAGCAGATAATATATATATACATATAGATACAATGACACACTTGTAAATAAAGATGTCCATTGTGCCCTAGATCGTAATGTGCAATGAAATAGGTGGTTAACCAAGTCTGTCTGATATCACAAGTTATTGAACCTTTAACGCTTGTATTTCAAAATACATACAGATGTGGCCTATTACTTTTTCTAACTTCAAGTTTATTAATGTGACAAAGTATAGTCACATTTTATGCTCGTCACATCCTCGAAGATAATATCCAAGTTTCATCATCAAAGACTCGAAACTACATATAAATCAACATTTGTTTTTTAGTCTCCTCGCAAGAGGCGGCTACTACATGCCGAAAAACATTAGCGGCAATGTCACACAAATTACAGGTACAGCAAAATGTCTGCAGAACCAATTCTTACGCGTTTCAAATGGTCCAAAGTTTAGCCAGAAAAAGAAAGAGGAGAGCTTTATCGAAATAATTTGTGAAATACATAAAAAACATATGTATATTAAGGGAAAATTATTCTTTGCTAGCTTTTACCAAGTAATTAAAGACGCTCAAAGATTAAAAGTCCGGACATTACATTAACTTTGGTGTTGTCTAAAGTATATGTGCGTCCTTTTTTTTTCTATGAAAGTCAGCTTTAAAAAAGACTAGGGCGTACTACGTGAAATTCTGCGACAAAATGTGTAGTAAGTAGCTTAAAAGTGCCATGTGGCATTTTGAAATAATTAGCGTAATCCAGCTCTAGATGTTTTTATGACGGCAAAGATAGAACATTTACTGATACACGCAAAAAGAATAGCAATCTGAATTTCAATCTGAATCCTATTGGAAAAATCATCACAGAAAAACTTTTACTCAATGTTGCGGCGAAATTGTACACGATCGTTCATTTCAAGGTGATGCTTATGCTTAAGTGATTTTATGAGACACCTGAAATGGGTGCTTAATTACTAAATAATTTTATAAACTTACTCGAAACGTACGCTCATGTTTGAAAAACATCTGTATTTGTAGGTCTATCAGTCAAGCTTGTGACAGAGCAGGTTTTTCTTCAGCTTGATTTTTATTAGGTTGATTAAAACGTAGTGTAATGTTTCGTTAATGTCTCCCCTCCCTTTTTACGTTAACCTATTTACTGAGCTTGAAACTATCAGAAGTCAAAAAATAAAACGAATTATTTTAGTTGGCCGTAAAATTGAATCGACTTTCACCTTCAAGTTTTAAATGTAGTGAAACGCAAAGCTTCATTAATCCTAAGGCTAAAATTTGTATTTATTCATCATAGCCCAAGACGCAGCTGAACTAAGGTGGAAAAACCTGAATTTAAAGTTAAGGCCAAGGACCATTAGCCGGAGTTGTGATCTTTTGATTAGACCCGTATACTTACAGTACCTAAAAAGAAGTGCCGCTCGTATGCCCCTGTATTTCAGAGAAACTAAAGCGTATGTTTCAAGCAAGCAAGCAAACAAACAAAAAATGCAAAGACAGATTGATGATAAGCAGAAAGAGGGAACGTTTGACAGAAACGTAGCCGAATAATAGACTGTCGTTAGTATTCAGTGGTGTATAAATAAAATAAGCATTATGAAATTAAAAAAGTTTGCGCCTTTGTTTTTTACTACAGTCTAGTCCATCCGCTTACAGGCGAAATCGTGTAACGATTACGTTGAAGAAAACACCAAAGGCTGTTTCGTCTAAAGAGTCTTGAAACTGTACAAAAAGAAGAATATCGCCAATCACTATTTACCTCTCTTTGATAAAGACCGGATCCTAGTTAAAACAAGTAACTTTCTTTGCCTGCGTCTTAAATACCGATCAGGTCCTACAGATCAATATTTACCAACTGCTTAACGACAATATCTGAATCGTACTCTCAGTTTACAGCATCAGTTAGTATTGTCAAATAGAATTTAAGACGTGCTTTATTGAGAAACATCGATCGCGCAACCGAGCAGATACAGTTGACTGGTCCACATGTCAGTAAACGCGTACATTGGTGTCTGAACTACAAATGATATAAATTAATAAACTATATAATAAATGTGCTGTCGCATTTTATAGCAAGTCTCGAGTTCGTGATATTCGAAAATGCACTTGGTGCAGATATCGCACATACGTCTGGCCAGCATAAAAACATAAATAAAGTAAAGTAAAATAGACATTCATAATACCGTATTCACACAGACTCAAATTAGAATACGTAAGGAATGTATTTTCGTGATCTATCTAAGACGAAAAGTACATTGTTTAGTCGGAAGACAGGTACTAGCAACACATGGGCAGAATTAATTCTGTGGTGGTCCCAGGAGCGTTGCACGCATTGTTGCACCCGGCTAAGGTTAGGCGCTTATCCAGTTTTATACATTCATCACTGGCATAAACTGCCGAACCTTGAAAGCACAATTTTTTTTTACCATCTGACTGTTGCCCACGTAAAAAGTAAAAAGAAAATTATAAGATAGATTGGAGACTGGTAGAAACTTTTATTATAGCTGTTTTTTTATTTACATTACATATATAAATTAAAGATAACTTGTAATTAACTTAGGAACGTACTTAAAGCTGATTAGGTGAGATAACCTTGCAGACTTCTGTTCATAATTGGATCCCTTCCCATTTCTGCATTTGTCGAAAACTCATGCAATCTTCTACAACCCGTAAACAAAATAAATGAAACGAACAATTTTTGAAAGTTACATGAAAGGATGATAAAATATACAATGATATGCTGATGGCATTCTAAGCTTGGCTTAAAACGTTAGCAATGGTATAACTTTTAAATGCATGTTCTTGTCTCTAAAAAGGAGACCGAAATAATTGCAAATAAAATAATAAAAACCACCAAGCTTCAGCTAGTCTACTTTGACTAACAAAGGTAACACACTTCTATTTTTCTTCATAAAAACTCGACATTCAAATATTTTTTCTCACCCTAAATAAAGTTCAGGAATACAATAATCGATAAGGGCAGTAACCGAATAGCCCGCCACCAGCGAGCCTGGACCCCCCCGATGTGCTCATCATATAGAGCACCTGCACCTTTAAATGAATGAATATTATTATTATGAATTTACGAAAATATTTGAAAATGAGTATATCTATAGATTAATAGATATTAAACCCGTGACTTCAAATCTGTGCTTTTAATTAATCTAGCTAGCTGATGCGAACTAGCATTTAGGATTAACCTTGAAGGCTTATAGAGTCTCGCATCGTAAAAGTGTCACAAAGAGAGTACAGCAAATAGCATCAATTAGCCTCACATTTTTATCCAATTAGGTAACTTTTGTGCAGAAAAAACGTATCCGTTAATATACAACCTGTTACGTTCTGTGTGTAACCATCATCAATTAGTTCAGTCAGTATAGGAATAATAATAACGATGTAAGTTAAAATAGTCACTGTTCACATAGCCAGTATAGGCGCGCCAGCGCACGTTCTCTGTTCCGTTACTTCCTAACAGGAGCACCCTATGATGTTACAACTGATACCGTCACGCTACATTACGCGCCATCTGCATTCGCACACCACAATGTTCTAGTACAGGCAGACCTGCTAGAGTGGGGATCACTTTTCATAGGTGGGTAATAGCGTGGCTGATGCTACCATGGACATTCGTCGATTTAAAAGTGCTAAAAGGATTTGGTATACTAATAACTAGCCTACAGTATCTCAGTCGCAGGTTGTGAACGGTGAAGATAAGGCGAGTCAGACCGTTTTGTTCCAAAGAAGCTCCTACCTGTAATTCCTCAATAGCATATAGCGATACAGACTTTGATACTTGAGGCAGCGACAATCGCAAACTGCTCCCCACTATGTGTAGTTGTCTCGATGTTCTTTCATTTAACGCTAATCGAATTAGGATTTGATCAAGCGGGATAAAAGGGCAATGATCGTTATCCTTATTGATTAATTTCAAATTTGTATTCTAGGAGATATATTCGTATTACTATAATCGAATATACACCTTTCAGAAATTAATTAGGACTTAACTATTCACTGGTTTTTAAAAGTGTTTTTTTATTGTTATTATCATAGTGGCTATTAAATGTGGTTCAAGGTGTCGCAGCTTATCACAGCGTATCATAGCAAGCTACAAAAGATTTGTAAATGATCCTGTAGGCTACGTCAAGTTTTTTTTTTTATTTAGAAAACGCATTGATTATCATTAACCGAAATGTATTTACTGACCTATCGATAAAGCGTACGGTACGGTCTAAAAAACTTGCTACTTGGCACTTGCACTTCGTACTGTGATCCGTCGTATCCATTTCCGAGCATATGATTTAAACCTGCTTCCGAGCTTTGATATACTATTAGTAAGAAAAATTACTTTTTTAGATAAATATTCCGCACTCATCAGTGTGACTGCAAGGGAATATAATTCACATGTTTTACATATGTATAGAAATTTAATGAGAAAGAGACGCCTTTCGTCGAGTATTGTTTGCACAACTAAAAATTATGTACAATTGACAATATGAATTATCTTACTCTAAGAAATCTGACTTAATCATTGATGAAGCTCTGGATATGAATGCTTGCTACGAGCTACCTAAGACAACAATCTTACTTAATCGCCTATATATATCAGGCGGACTAGGGAAACAAAATACTATACAACTTAAGTATGTATTTGATTAGAAACCTAATATCGGCAATCCAGCCAACAATTTCAATTGTTAAGGTGCCAACATGTTGATATCGAAAATTTAAAAGAAGGGGTATGTACAAATTAGCTATGTATAGTTTGTATAATGTTTTCGCTACTTTCGTTTATTAATTGTAATGAAGTTTACACAAAAACGATTATCGAATGACAACTATAGGACAGAACAAGCAGTCCAAGTGCCGCTTACCTCTGACGTAATATTGACGCAATTTCGATTGTAATACCCTAAATCTTATTTGTGGATGCAAACGACAAAAAGGTCACGTGTACTGCGTTTATGAGCATAACAACACAAAAGTTGTTTCCGAAGGGTTTCACATGTGTATGACCAATAGGATAAAACTAATGTTCCGTACAATCTACACAAGTAGATTGTACAGAACATTAGTTTAGCTACCGGTAGAATCTGCCACCATACTAAGCTTAAACTCAGACCTCACTTGAACATAACGAGACATTCATTTACTAATAAGAAACTGTTCGGCCATTCGATGACTATTTATCACGTGATTTTGCTTCCTCACCCCATTGTAGATGCCATTAATTAAGTTTACTTTGCCATATAACGATAAAGATGAAAACAGACAGTAGCTGAATAAAAACTCTTGAATTTACAAACTAATAGAATTCAAACCAGCATATGCTTACGTTACAGGCGTAACGTGAAAGCATTTGTGGAACAACATCAAATGAGACCACTGTCTCAGGAGCATTGAAGCCTGTGGTGCATTCTGCCTTTATGAGCAGTGCATTGCATTTTGGACACTGGTAGCGGCCATCGTCTGCCAATTCGAACGAACATGATTTTGAACTTTCATACATATTCGCTACGTTAAAGGCATAGGTCGTATCAAGCATTTGAGACTTGCTAGAGGAAGATGTCTTAACTCACTTATCCGCAAGAATACTATTAAATCGACTTGATCTCGCCGAAAAAATCAAAATGGTTCTCGTTAAGCAAATCTCTTTCGGTAAGGTTTCCTGGACTTAAATAATCCTATAAATATACGTCTCTAATCCTAGCTATAACTATCTAATCCTAGTCAAGCTGCTGAACACTTTTTTTTATTTACTATTCTATTCGATAAGGCCACAGAAACCAAAACGTATTATAGCTATAGAAAAAACCAACTAAACTTACTCGTAGTTGTCATGTTAAAACCAGCAACGCGTTGTGCACACGAGCCATCGTTGTCACTTCTAGTCAAATTTAAAAACTAAGTCGCCAAGAAGTCACAGGTACTCGATAAAGTCATGCATTCTAGGCCAGAGCCGTCGAAGTACTAGATCGTGTACAAAAGCCTATAATATGACTCATACTTCTGTGAGCGCTTTCCAGCTCACAGAGAACATGTATATGTTTGTGGTGACGCGGAAAAATCATCGTTCAAAACCTGCATTTTTCATTCATTACTAGCTGACATGAGCTTACTTGCCTGTTAACCTCGACGCTTCAAGGCTTTACGTTTCATACGTTTCATGTGAAGCAGGTAAATACTATAAATTGCATAAACACGGTTCTTCGGCTGGCAATGTTCGTGCAGTATACAGACAGAGAAAAGGCGTATCGTAGGACGTAGTACTTAAGAACATACAGATGAAAGGCTACAACAAATCCACAGGGTCTCGATGTTAGTTAATGGACGTTGCCATCTGTACTCTTCAACATCATTTTGGCACTATAGACTTTCCTATATAGAAGAGGTAGCCAAAATCGCAACTTCTTGTTCTTCTGATAACAATCGTTATAGAATGGATAGTTATTTGAAAATAACGCAGTCGCTTTTATCATTATTGTCAAAGTACGAATTGCGCTTTATGTCGAAGTTTCATTAAATACATTCAAGGTTGCCATCCGAACCCAATTGTAGAAGACAAGCGCATGCATTTTGTATTGTTTAGAAATGAAGTATACTATATAGACAATTAAAGACCTCTTTGCACTCGTTAATGTTTATCTACTGACATAAATGTGTATCCACGAGTTATGAGTCTTCATAGGTGAATGGTATTGCTAATTAGGGATACATGTGTACTCACTTTATTTTTCTGTAACCCATAGCAGATAGCAGTCTTTTGCTAATTCTGTTGACAACGATTCGTTTCTAAGCTGGTATATTTGGTGTTACACATACGCAATTGGAGTAATATTAAGTTTCAGTCTTCATGTAATCGAAGACATGGTAGCAAGTGATGAAAATAGTAGGGAATAGCGCAGAATTCTTCATTCAGTTTTCTGTGTTAACGCAGTTGATAGAAGCGTTGAATTGCTTAGTGTTGTTCGTTTTCTACATTTAACAGCAGGCGAACAGAGATCAGACCTGCGCTTTCTAATTTTGCCCTTTCACATATTAATGGGCTGAAAAACCGTTTATTTATCTATGCACATGCCAGTTATTTCGCGATGTATTAGTGTAAAAGATCTATTACATAATGTGTAAAATCCTTGAACAATACGAGCATTTATCTTGTTAACATTTAGAAGCAGAAATTACGAGAGTGTCCGGTACTGGAGTTACACGCAGCAAAACTATCTTTTACGAACTTTTAGTTACACCTTGGGTTGTCTACTCCATTGGTTGATACAGTTTTAACCAATGTATTCAGTTTTATTTAGTGTATCCATTACGGGCGTTATTTAAACTTAAGTCGAAATAACTAAGAACTTACATATTTATCCTTAACCTTATGCTATTGCGAGTTCTGATCGTATAAGATTCCAAAAAAGATTCCATTTTTCCAGAACTTATGTGACATTAATGTGTCGTATTTGATATAGCCTGTTGCACCTCTTTTACTCAAAGTTTACGTATACCTGGAAGCACCCTTAACTAGTTTTGTCACCTACTTACTACCCACCCAGAAACTACATATATGTCAATTCCTCAAGTAATCCATTTAGCTAACTAGAACAACGTATTTTGCTTGCACGTGCAGAGAAAACTATATTTAGGTGGTATTGCAAGCCTGAATCTTCCAAGGCCCTTCAAATACGCAAATACACAAGTACATTCTTATACGTAGCAGAATTATCTCTCAAATTCGATTTGTATTGCTATTAGGCCTTTCACTGACTTGAAAAAAAAACTTATCTGCACGGACATAATGTAGTTTATTCACTAATTAATAACCATAATAGCCTGTGCATCTACATTAGGCACCGATTTATCTGACACGCATGAAATACCCTATACACAGTTACAGACAGGAACGACATACCATTTTTTTCTCCGAACATGATATGTACAAATTCCACAGCTGTCTGTTGGATATTCTAGTAGTCACCAGGTTATTCCTGCGGTTTTGTTCGAATCTTTTCCTCGAGCTTCTCGAATTCTCGCTGTGAAATCGCGTCTTCCTCTGACAATACCTCCTTAACACCTTTCACCTATAAAAGTCAATATTTTCCACAATGTGTTCTATATACAAACACAATTATTCTACTCTGTCGTTATGTTTAGAAAAACCTATATACGCATATCTTTTACGGCTGTTATCTATATGGTCGTCGAAACGTTTGCCTTCGTTTAAATACTCGTTTGGTCAAAATTATGCAGACAAGAAAACGGTCAAAAGTGCGCTTAGGGTTTTATATGCCTCAACAGAAGAATTTGTTGAAATGGACTCTTCCTCAACATAACCGTCTAAGTGGTTCACTTTAATTTTAATGCGCTGTAATACTTACGACATAATGAAATATTAACATAAGATGACTACAAAAATTGTTAAGTTGAGGGATACCTCCTAATAAACTCGATAAGCGGACAGCATATCAGCTAACAAAAACCAATGGAACTTTAGCGCGTGCTACAAACCTCAGGAACGTAAAACATCAGCATATTTTCGATGCCGGCCTTTAGTGTAACTGACGAACTAGGACAGCCTGTGCATGAGCCCTGTAACTCGAGCTCCACAATTCCATCACGAAACGCACGAAACACTATATCTCCTCCGTCCTCCATCACAGTTGGTCGAATTCGTGTGTCAATCAGTTCTGCAATCATTGCCGCAGTTTCACGATCGGCTTCGGTGAATTCTACCTAAAAAAATTAAATATTTCGAGTTTTGCATGAATGACTTTCGTTATATTAGGATTTCGTAAGCAAATGACCCTTCAGGTCCTACAAGTTTAGACCCCCCAATTCGTTTTTTGTGAGACAATTTCACTACACCTACTATAATCTTTTTGTAAAAACTGGAACCATATCCGTAAGATGATGAAGTTGAGCTATAATTTGTTGCTTTTTGAAACCTCATGGCACTGATACATTCCTTCTATAATTATCGTAGTTCAAGAAAAAAATAAAATTTACTTTGAAGATTTGCATCTGTACACTACGAACTGTTTTGTATTAAATATGCACAACCAAAATATATACTTTAATCAGCTTACCTTTTTCAACTTATCTTCTGACTCTTTATCGGGTTCAGGCGACTCGAGCACAGGCAGACCAGCACTGAAAAAATCCATCATTGTAGCATATATGGATGCCTTCAGAAAAAAGGGAACAACATAACCTTGTTAACACAATATAATACTAACGATAATCTTACCGTTACTGATATCTGTTTAGAACTATTCGTCAGTCGATAACAAAATAATAATGTAATAGAAGTAAACCCGTGGATATAAAGGGCCACCAATATGCTAATTATCAAATTATGCATTCATTAATTATAAATATTCGTGTTATAATGCGTTTTAGACCGTGGCGTTATTAAAACGCATGCAGTAAAAATGTGCAGTTTCAAAGATTGAATCCTCGGCTTTAATCAGGAAGTTGTCTGTACCACACTTAGAAATTTTGGTGTACAAATCGTAGTACAACTCAGCTTTGACGAATACATCACGCAACTGATTAAACCAAAAATCACTGTCAACAGCGTTTTTAAATATTCTATCATAAAGCATTGCCATATAAACCAATTACTTTACCTACCGTATTGTGCTTACCCATCTAAAAAAGCATACTAACCTTCCCGAGTACATTCAGAAATTTTTTTTAAAGAACTTTGCGGATGTTGTGGATTTCCTAACTCAGAATCGGAATTTCAAGCGGTTTAAGGCGATAGCTCGTGCTAAGTTCCAAATAATATATATTTAGAGTAACCTGATAGACGCATAAAAAAGTTGCCGATAATAAGATTATACACAGTAGTGTCTCATCCAAGAAGAATAATTTCGGACGTATTGTTTATACTACACTCCAACCATTGTAAGGTCCCCCGTTTGACATTATGAAAATGCACTTGAATAAAATTACCTTGAGGGCTGTCCATTCAAGAGCGTCGTCTGCGCGCGTTACCGTTATAAAATCTGGCCCAAGGAAGACCCGTTGAACCCCTGGTATAGCGAAGAGCTGACGAACTAACAGACTGTTTTTTGCAGTCTCAATCGTAGGGAAATCGCGACCCTGACCTTCTTCCAAGACCTTTATTTAATAAAGTTAAATAGTACAAAACAGTTGTAGAACATAACAAACGTTGCCAAATTCAGCCAAGATTATTGTGTCCGTTTATATCTTAATATGTGTTTTAAGTATCAATGAACGCAACAATCATCGTCAATGCTAACGATTCGCAATTATCAGAATAATAGAGAATTAGCGTACTTCAAATATTTTTGACTAGTCGTTTTTAATTTCATAAACAAAAGGTATAACACAATAAAAAATTCCTTTAAAATCGTTTATATAACTCTAATGTCAACTTTCACCTGTACAAATGTTTTCCCTTAACATCTACCACTGCCTCTTTTCTTGAATGTTACAAATATACAAACTATAAATTAGGCATGCATACTAGTGGTAATCGCATTCTATATAAGGACATTTGCCTCAAATCTGGCTGTGAGAGATCAACACAGAGGTAAGCTTCTTGCTCTAAAGTGTACCTTTATTCCAGGCAAAAACTTCAATGAATTTGGATTAGGTGTATCGCGCGTTTGAATGAACATCCGTAGACTAGCTGAAAGATGGAAACGGCTTACAGTCTGAAATGATTCGCGCACCATGCGACTTACAGCTGCTGCCAGCATCTTTCACAAGCCGATACTCCTTGTGCCTGACACCCCAGTTCTTAACAGTTGATACTCTATATTGACAATAGCTGCGTTCTAACGCTATATAGTTACAGCAACGGAGAAAAACAGCTGATCTCTACGATACGAACGGTCGAGATACGGTTTGACGTTTTATTTTTAAACGTTAAGCTATTTCGTCTGCATCTCAATTGTTTAGTCTGTTATGAATCCGCCCGCGCGTAAACAAGGGCAGGTCATCACATTATGGCCCACTCGATAAGTAAACAATACAATTAATAGACATCTAAAGTTACAATATACCTATAAGAAAAGTCATAACTGTCGCTGACAATTTTCTGGACTTGTGCTTGTTCATAAATCAGTTACTTTTCACGATTTCTGGTTTCTTAGAGCACGAATATGCGTTACCTTAATAAAAAATATAAGACAGAAATTTTAGGCATTTTGTGAGTGATCCGTTTAACGTTATACACTAATATATGCAACTTATTTTTCTCTATGTATAAACATTTCGTGGTGTATGGACTTGAAGGAAAAGGCAGGATAGGTATTTGCCACGAAATCTTACCTAAGTCAACATTTAAGAGTCACCTGTCACGAACAGAAAAATCACAATACGATTGAAGAGCGGATTTTCCTAGGAGTTATACAACCCGAAAATGAATACATGCCTCTATTCAGTGTAAATTTTATTGGATATAGACAATGTTATGTGCAGCATCAACGAACACACACAACTACATTAACCGATATAGAACTCCATATAAAAATTATGGTACTATATTGTATTGTATCGTCGGCACATTGTAAATCCTTTCTAATACATTTTTCCAATCAAATTCTATGCGCGCATCTGTAAACTACGGCCTTCAGCAATCAGGCAAGTGTTAGTTAATACATAGAGACCAAACTTTCAAACAAGTGTCTGTGTTCAAGCTATGCGCAATTTCAGTACCGTAACTTTATATATGTATATTCGTGGTACGTTTACGTGAAATGAACTATATTATAAAACCTATTCAGGCGTTAATTATTTTATGCGATCAAGCTAACTGGTTTTATGTAAGACCTTACGAAATTTAGTGATAGTAAATACATTTTCAAGACTATTCGCGTATTCCTAAGCTTACTTTACGTGTAACAATAAAATAGAACCCATAACAGTTTTAATCTCTTTCTAGGTCGTTAAGTTCATTCTATTTGTTGGTTTGCATAATACTGCTTTCCTAGCAAATCATTTTAATATCGTTCGAATCATCTGCTACCCCTGTCAAGTTTTAAACTGCCGTTACGCACTGCGCCAAACTGCGCGAATAATCTGACCTCAGTTCGCCAGCGACGATGATTTCATTACATAAATGCGTCCATCCGACCACTAACCACTGAGTCGCCGCTAAATCTGCAAATAGCGCAGCATCAAGTTTTATATTGACTTGGTTTGCAACTTCTATGTTTGATGTTTTATCTTGTGGGGGCGGGAATTGGATATACCTAAAAATAAGTAATGAAGTGATTCTAGTAATATTTCTTATATCTGTGTGATTTGTTTGGTGATGGTGGACAACTGATTGTTGTTACAGTTGTCTCTTTGTTTTTGTCGTGAAGAATAGGCGCGAGAGTCGGAACAATCATACGTTTCCGTCTGGTTCGACCCTGTCCAACAACACACAAAGAAGACAAAGTATTTGGTGTTTTGGCGCTCTCTAATTGAAGATTGAAATCTGTTGGTAAGTTACCTTTAGACCGAGGAAAAACAGAGCTAGAACCTCAGCCATAGACGAAATGGCGGCGACAACAGCAAAGGTAGGCCCAAATATCGGGCAGTCCAAGGAAGCAACCAAGACGGGTGAGTCTAAACTAGTGCTCATAATAAGTGCTGACGAGTTTTTTGCCACAGTCAAGTTTTAAACCGATGTGTATGAGCACAGGAAGTATGATTGGAGTAATACAAAGTGTAGTTATTTCAAAATATTTATCTCATTTTTTCCTTCACCTTGAGCCTATCCAGTACTAAGGAGAACAGCTGGCTTCTGGGGTTTTGCTCTCTTCGCTTCAAGAGACTAAGGTAGACATGTTTTGACACATTTCGGCGCGCACTGCCTGCGCGGAAGACCACTTATTTTTTAAAGCCCACGCTTGAAAGCTCTTATAGGAAATCTTCCTCATCGGGTGATTGGTTTACGTGGCGCGAAGTTAAAGAGCACTGAAACAAGCATAGTTTTTCCTCAAAAGTTCCGAAGTGTTTATTCTGTTATAGCAGAGAGCTATACCGAACATAGGTCTGCTTATATCGTGATGCATGTGATATAGAAAAAGTTTCAGGTGCACAAAATTTCTCTCGACATTTGTCGTATTAGCATCCATCATATTTCAGAAATGGATAAATGTAAAAGTACAAACACACAAAATACCATTTGTGTCTATCCTTTGCCGTGCAAGACGATATAGGAAAATTACATTGCATGTAGTACGAATATCAAACTTCGTATATTTTACCAGCTATATGTGCGGTTTCATAGATTAAACTGTGCTCCGTATAATTTCTGTTTCGGCTAGGTCAGAACAGACCGCGCTAAGCGCTATTGAAACGTGGTGTTGATCGATCTTGAATGGTGCTTTTAGAACGAGCTCGCGGTGTCACAGTCGGTTTATTCTGAAATTATTGGATACTGCATATTATTGTAGTAAATTGCAGGTTTACTATGAAGAACTGCAATATACTGCAATAAATAGAAAAGAAAAAAATCGCATGAGAAGTTATTTCAATAGATGCCGAGACAACTTTTGGACTCAGTCGTGGCACAGAAGATCTATTGTAAAAAAGATCTAAGATCTATATTCCAGCTTTAATGATAAGAGTATTCATGAACATGCAAGCTTTCCCTATTCACTGAAGTGTCAGTATATTTGCGCCAACTTGACTGGCCCAAACTGTTCAAGTTCGTTAGGAATACAAAATTGTTTAATCCATCACTCTTTAATTTCTCATCTCTTATGCTGCACGTTCAAAATTATGATGAAAATTTAGTCAATGAAGAGTCAAAGGTCACGCATATAAATTTTAACTTTTTTCCCTTATGTTCAGGTCTCACTGTGTTTGCCTGTTCACGTATAACTAAGATGCGTACAAATCTTATTCAGCCTTGATGCGCTACGATTTTCATTTCCATAATCATAAGCTTTAATCATTGTCATTCAAACAGTAAACGTTGCTTTTGCATTACGTGCAGCTGGAATAAGTTGTTCTCTAATTTAATCTATCTGTGCTAAAGATGAGACTAAATTAGTTGTACAGTAGAAGATACGTGCTTCGAGAACATAAAAACTAATTTTACCGTTGGTCCGGTTAGCAAATGTTGTATCGGTATATTTATACGATTCAATATCGATAAATAATACATACACGAATTTTCAAATAGGTCACTTTAGTTGAGTGATAGATGTAGAAAACCTCCTTATTGAGCTCCCACGCGAGTGAGCTTTTACAGGAAGCATCGTTCAAAACGAAACTTACTTAGAAAAGCCATAATTTCAACAATGAGGTGACTCAACTGCCTTAGAAGTGGTTTTACTGTCCATATAAATGTACTTTCTCAAGGTGAAAGGTGATTTTTGAAGTGAGTGATAATTGTCTCCAAGCTTCTTGTCTTTGTTGGTATGAAAGTCGAAAGACCAACGTTGTTTCATTTTGACCGGTGATCGGCAGTGCTCTCTAAAAAAAAACAAAAGGCCTTTCGTCGAACCCATTTGCGCTAACGATTCACAAAACACAATATGTAGCCCAGATTTTTTTGCGGATGGTTTCTTCTGAGTTTTCATTTATTGCAGCAGCACTCAGTTATTTTGTCTATTTCATATGACACACACTCCCAAGCGTTGTAATGGTTAACTTGGTAGCTTGATAATCCAAATTCTTCGCGCCTAGGGTGCTTGCATAATTGTACACTTTATAGTTTTTTTAGAAGCAAGGGCTTTCGTTGTCTAATAGTACTCTTGTTACCCCGTCGGGGGCACTCTGTTGAATACGAATTTCCAGTTATAATATGTACGACATGGAATCCTATCTTTAAATTGAGTACTTCTGGGGGCTTCGTGTAGGTAATATTCGATCTTGGCTTTATGTCCAGGTTCCAGCGTGTGGTGCTGCATTAACATGATTGGTGGTTAGATTAAGAAACCATACGGACAAATACCAGGCTTCTTCGGCGGACACGCGTTGCTCATATTCCTCAGGGAGGTTAGTAAGTTCTCGTTTGCTGGAGCTAAGTGTCTCTTAGTACATATCTAAGCAATAGCTAGTATTGTTGTCAGCCAAATTAATACGCCGTCATCAACAAATTGCTGTAAATCGATCCTTTTATGCGCGTTAACTCTGGAGTAGCCATATAAGATTGGACCTGGAAAAATAAAAGGTATTCAATTACAAATTTTGACTTTGTATTAATTTTCAGTTTTCTTTACCGATTTGTGGAGCATTTATCATTGATGGTTCCGCTGCTACGGGTAAAACGTTAGACTACACTAAAACGTATTGATTGTTCAATCAGGGCAACCAGATGCGTTGTTGCCTACGCCCTTAGGTCACAAAACGACAATAGAGATGAGGTGGATAGGGGGTTCTAGGTACTGCACTGCTAATGCAGGCGCCACGCGGCAGACGATGGTGGTTCATTGGAGAGGGCATGTATAACCTGTGACTCTGGTCAGTTGCTGTTTGTAACACTGTAAAACTTAGTTGAGAACTCTGCGGAACTCTTGAGAAATTACGACTGCAAGGATGCCCGACAGTGCTCCAAATACAAGAGAATTATTAGAATCAGGTGAAACGCTCCGGGCTTTAGCGATTAAAAATTTTAGTGTCAATTGTAAGTGGTCCTTTGTAACTCTACTTATACGGAAATCTTGTTAGCCCAATATCCGGAAAGGCTAATCTGCCTAACTACAGTTAAATACATAAAACAAGACTCATACTGACACTTGATTTGTGCCACGCCCCGATGAGGTGCTAAGCTTATTAGATTCCTAAATTTATACTTTCTCGTATATATCTGATAGCGACCTCGAAGCATAATGATAGCTTCATTGTAGTTAAAAGTTTTGTTGCAAGGTCCAGAAGGGCACTGAACAAATCTAGTCCAAAGTAATGCAGTCTTTTGGCCTTTATATGGCATGGTTAAAATTATATATGTATAGAGTACGGATGTACCGTATTCATTAGATCTAATAGCTTTTCTTATAGCTTAGGTACGCCCATCCTTGTTTTACGCAAGTAATGAAAGCAAAATTTTCTAGTGTAGTTTTCTAGCCCTTAATGGGATATGACTGTTGGTTTCGGCGCAACGAATGGTGATCGCAACAGAACTGCATATATACGTTCTCATCGTATTAGGCAGCTTCGCTAACTTCATACGAACAACTTTTGTAGAATAACATAGTATAATTTTTACAGATGGGCGGCCATTCAAGGTGGAGATGTCGGACCAGGATCTGGTTGATCAAATTCAGGAGTTGGCCCGGGAGATTGAAAGCATGGACGATGTCAGCAGCGTAGCTTCTGAGTCCCAGAGATTGAGTCCAAGTTCAAAACTTACTGTATTGTGGGCCAAAAAGCGATTCCCCAGACAAGGTCAGTTCTACTATGGCGGTAATTTCGTCTCGGTTAGTAGATTACAAAATACTTTCGACAAAAAAGTGGTCGTGCCTTATTATTGTATCTACCATTGGCAGTCAATTTGACCGTTTTCAACATGGTACGAATAGGTGTACAAATGAATATCTATAGGTTTATTATTAAAAGCAATGGTATTTAATTAGCATTGAAATTATTTAGAAGATGATTGAAACAGACAGGTAAATAGGCTATAACGGCAGCACAGTGAGTGAGACTTGCAAGCGCATGACAATGACCAAAGATTAGAGCTAGATCTTTAGCAAGAAGTCACTAATTTTCCTGAATTAATTTGCTTTAATTCGAATCTATCATTTAGTCAAGTTAAATTTATACGAATACTATAACACTCTTCATTTGTAATTTGTCCTCAGTTGGCTATGTACAATAGGAGTTAATTATTGGTATTAAATTCATTTCTTAAAGTAATTGTTCACTCTGACTATACAAGTAACATTGTGCAGGTATATGTAATCATATTTAGATAATTCCATCGACTGAAGTATCATAGACCCACCCGTTAAGTATTTAAACAATTCGCTTACTGACTAAAGACTTCCGGAAAAATGTTTATAAGAGAATGTAATAGCAGCAGAGGAATGAAACATCGACTAACATATATAGACATTACTCATATCATTTTACATAGTTTGTGTAAAAATAAATGTCTTAACGGTTTTTTCTCTCTTAAAGAACAACTTTTATTTGGTTTAAGGGCAAGCTAAAACTGCGGTCATAATGTGCTTAATACTGACAAAAACTACCAGAAAAGTTAGCAGCAAATTCAGCACCAATTCTCAATAAGATTCTCACTGTAGTATGTTTCTCTATTACAGGCATTCGTTCCACCCGAAAGGTGGGACAGCAGCGCAAACTCAGCTTCGGCGCGACCACACGAGTCGAAGTAGGCCATTTACCGTTGAGGCAAGTTCAAAGCAATGGTCAATACCCAGACTCTTGGGAGTGGACACAGAAAGATCACGACGAAAGTCACCCTCTCGAAGGATCTTTGAATAATTCTCAGCCGATTTCACAAACACGATGGCCATCTTCAGCTGCATCGCTTAGCGAAGAATCGGAATATTCTATTGGAACGATTGCAGCGCCTCTCGATCAAGAGAGTATCTCTGATGCTGAGGAGAAACAACCTGAGGCGATAAAACTAGTAGTGCCCCAGTCAATCACGAGTGTTGATGAGCATTTGGGCTGCACACCAACGACGGCTCTAGATGTGCAGTTATTAATAAGAAAAGACATACCATATCGTCTCAAAGAGAACGGGGAAACTATTATGAACGAGTTGGACATTCCGGTAGAACAGGCCATAGATGCCATCCAACAAAGGAGCGAAGAAGGTAGGCAAGTTTACATGACATCGAGGAGTAGAGGTGAGCCAAATGTGAAGCATCCAAAGTTTGTATCTCCTGAGGTATCTACTGTGCTAACAAACAATAAATACTGGGATCATCAGGCGTATACGAGAAAAGTAGTACCGACCGGTCCGCGGTCGCAATTAACTGCGGACTCTCGCAATAAGCTCGCAACAGCTCGAAAAATCATGAGCAAGCGATCTGGCTTGAGCACAAAGAATAGTGCTACCCTGGTACCATACAAGTCGCGAAACAGTAAGCACAAGGACAGTGAACATCCAGCAACAACTTCTCGAAGTAGAAACCGCACGGAGGGAAACAGTCGCAAGAGGAGAAGAAATGTTGATGGGTTGTGTCAAAAGTGTAGAAAGCCTCTAGAGAAGAAACTTGCAGTTAAATGGAGCGAGAAGGAATGGGACCATTTCTGGACAAAAGTGTCTTGCGCTGCATCAGACATTCGTACACTACGAGAGCATGGCCTCGACGATAATGAGGCATGTGTAGGTTTCTTGCACAGTTTTAAAGACCTAATTAACATGCCATTTCTATGAGGCAGCCTAAGAATGGCATTGTATTGATGTATGTATTCATAGAAAACGAAGGTGTACATTTACTGTATGGGAAGTTGTTAATGGACTAAGATATTCAGTCAATGAGCTCCCCAGCCTCAAGCGTAGAAAATATGGCATTAAAGCAATTTCGCCGCTAATTGGGCATTTAAACAAATGCTGCAAGTGACTTGTACTTGGCTTTAAATTTTGTTATGCTGAAGATCCTCATTTCATAAATAGATTGTCTGTTTGACATTGCTACGTGTCATTGTTGAGAGTGAAGAAGCTGGGAACTGAAGCAGCTATGTGTTGTCATATCATGGCAAGTCCGACTATTTCATGCATTCCTTTGCCACGCTATTTTTTAAGTTCTCAATTTGACCTTATGGAGCACTTCATTGGGGCTAAATTTTTCCGATGATATCGGTGGTTCGAAACAAAAAAGTAATTGTTTATCTCGAGAAAGCATTTCAGTTATAGTCTGAATACACCAAAGATGGGGGCTGCAGTCAATCGATTATGTACGGGTGCCGGAATAACTGTAACCAAAAAAAATATGCACTGTACAAAGCACGATAATTTGCACGGTATTATTACCTTATTAGTACCACAATTATTACTAGAGAAAGGTAATTACAGCGTGCATACGTTCACCTAAAAGGGAATGACATTCCATGCAGTAACTAGTGGAAATGTAAATGATACATGAGACCAATAAGCCATTTTTATGGTTTGACTTTTAAGGTAGGATTACTTTAACGAGCTTGTGGGAGAAATGAGATCAACAAACAGTGTTTATATTATCACTTGTTCCTTTGTTACTAAATTTGGTAAGTATATGTTTTGTTTGACTTATTTATTTTAGCAATTATGAAGCACTTTCAGCAGTTAAGAAAAATCTAGATCTACCATCTATGGTACCCCATGTGGTTATCTTTGTTGGGTGCTGAGAACTGTGCCCGGAAGTTGCAACTGCGCTAGTCCTAACAATGTCAATAAATTTTTCATTCTCTTGTACAGCGACTATGTAATATGGAATGTGTAGAATCGTTCAGATGTTTAGATTAGGTGGAAATGACTCAACGGGCATCATATTGGTATGTAAAGCTATTTAATAGGTGTGTTCTATTTAATTCCAGTGAGAGAGCGTCCTACATTAGTAGCAAACACGCAGAGTCGGAAAAAAATACTAGCGAAGTAGACTTACGTATGTGAGTTCAAGGATCATGGAGTTAACTATATATTTCTTTTTATTATAATACGAAATTCTGTATAAGGAACCTCATTGTACCCTACAGTGCTTAACATTCAACCTACTTAAACAATTGTTATTTAAGTTAGCATATTTGAACCTTACGCGTCATCATTAAAGGCAATGAAACGCTACCGAAAACGTATATTCAGTTATAAAAGCAATAACAATTGCTAGAAATCGGTTAATTTGACCGGGAAAGGTATGAAGAGGTATATGAGAATTATTAGTAGACTTGATGTTAATCAACAAGGGCCTCTCTTTCACTGTTTGGACGAATGGGGTGTACAGTGTATATAATCTAACGAATAGTCGTTAACATAGGATACTGCGTTATACATATCAAACATTACCAACGTTCCTGACTTAGTGATCCCACTCCGCGTGATGTATCATTCTGATGTGAGCAGTCGATGTAAATTTTGGAAAACTGTTGGAAACCGGAGAAGACTGACAGGAAAATTCTGCTTTATATCTGTAAAATATTTCTACTCGGTAGTAAATATATTTGAATTTGCTTAATCGAAACATAGCATAGACAGGCCCTTTTCTTCTCATTCTCCGTAAAGTACAAGGTTATCCTTTCATAAGGTATTCACGAGTGAGGCGAAAGATATTCCGTTTGTAATATGGACAATAATAATGAGTCGTATGTGAAGTGCATAAAGGAATACATAAAATTGTTAGGTACGATCTTATTACGTTAGGCAATAGAAAGTCTATAAATGTTATAGATGTTATTGCCAATGGCTAACTTTTGTTGTCAGAGATGGAGGAATACTACATTTAAAAACTGTTTTAGGGCAATGCCTTCACATGAGCAAGAATGAACGGAAATGTAGCAAGAGGAGTACCAAGAACAGCAAAGATGGGGCTACATTGTCACTTTTCTACTAATGACGAAGGTGGTAGGTAAAGTCAAGGGTTAAGTGCGTGGGAAATATTTGTTCAGGTATATGGTGTAATTAGCTTATACGTACAGTCTTAAAAACGTGCGCAAGGTCTTATCATTCGTTTTCAATGACTTCTTTGTCACAGAAGAAAGCCCATCATACGCAGCATATTAAAAAATATCTATCAGGACAGATACAGCTCAGGAGCTTTGTCAGTCGCCTTCAGCGGATGTTGTTGTATACGAACGCACGCTGAGGTATAAAAAAATAGCATGCGTTAAATAACCTGTTTTGTTTCTCGTTCCATGTAAATGCAGTTCGATCTGAGTTTATGTTGAGTTGAACGTAAAACTTCGCCTGCTTTTTCAAATGCCTCCCGATCGTTTTGATACTCATCTGTCTTTAAATGTTTTCGACTTCTATATGTCGGCTCTACTAGCGTTAAGCACTGCTTCAGACTGCTGTATGTGCACGTCCTGTTTCGAATCAAGGCGATCACGTGTGCCTAAGTTAAGAGCACAAACACGTTACCAGTGCACCGTCAAAAGAACAATCCGTTTCTCTCTTGAATGCAGTGTACTACTCAAAGCTTCTGGCAGTCTCTGTTGTTTCATTTAATTAAAGAAGGCTCCAAAAGTTGGCTTTTCTGGAGAAAAATGTATCCTCGCAGTAAAATGCATTTGCACACTCTTTCTTTTGATATAAAGAGCGATCTGGGAAGAAAGATAACAAATCGATGTCAAATATGTCATTTATGAAGACATCTTTTCACATTAAGGCACATATCTTCAAAGAGGTGGCGGAACCTTTAAAGGTGTTACCGCTAAAACGACGAGAAACCAAGAGGAAATATGGGAATAGTTTCTTTATATCTATTTTTTGTAAATTACTTTACGCAAATAATGCAAATATAAATACAAACTAGGCTAAAGTAAGGATTCATTCCTGTGAGTACTTGCTTAGCTAACAAAACTAACGTTTTAGATTTACTGCAGCAACGTTCTGTTGTTGCGGAAGGACATTCAGGTTACGACTACGGATGTTTTTTGGTTGAATGCATGAGTTAACGTTCTGAAGCAATTAGAATTATCCCTCTTATAAAAATGTTTACAAAACTGTGTTATTTAGTTACAATAATGTATATAATAGTTTGATGTAAAAAACTAAAAAAGAATATTCTTACATGTTGTGTACTACCTATGTTGTTGGTTATACAATGCAATAGTGTTGCTATGTGGCTAAAATTGCGAAAAAACTCGGCAAATAAACAATTGCTTGTTTATTGTTTTCATGAATACTACTTTTTTTCTAATTTGATTTTGATAGGTTCTAATGGAGGGCACAACAAAGTTCTGACAATATCAGACGCCAGATATCACAAAAGCCCTTCGCTACGGCAGCATTCGCATACATTTGTTAACTAGACCTGGCAGCCCCCAGGAATAATAAAGTGTCACTGCCAGCAGTACGCCGCCGATTATTAAAAAAGTTATTTTTGGTGCATCGTTTCTACAGCAATGCGGAACATTCAGAGAAAACATTCGTTTGTGTGTCAAGCAACAGAGCAAGTGTATTCTTTTTGTTAGCGCCATGTTACAACCGACAGTGTCTGATATTAAGATTAGAGTCAACTGACATTATGAAGGTACAATTTATACTGCTATAGAAGCTGATATGTAAAAAGACAGTTCATTTTTTAATTCATGTATCATGCCTTTTAGGAAATTCAAGCCCACTATTTTTGGAAAGATATATGAATACATATACTAGGGGCCCTCTATTAGACTAACAATATTGACGAATGTATGCGGTCTACGCCTCGATTGCTATCGTACAGTCTTCGTGAAGCGGATGAACGGCAAAAAACGTAAACGCAACAGAGTAAACTGATCCTCCAAATGGCCCAGGCACGAATGCTACGGAAAATATTAGGTAAAGCATGACACGCAAACGAGGACTTGGTATACAGGTCATATATCTGTCAGTCCTTCTAAAAAGAAAAATCTGATGAAATGATCTGAAGCCCATGAAAGGTGCAGGTATGCGTAGTACAAAAAACATGCACCTTTACGCGTATAATGACAGGTAGGATATAGGAGAATGAGAAACGGAGAGATGTTTTTTAGAAATAGTGGCTTAAGAGTCTCAAAAACTGAAAGCTGTAAGGCGCTCTTAGTAAAGAGCTGACCAAAAAACCTTTTTTTTTAATCTGCACCAGAGTTAGACTTCACTAGCGTCTTTTAGCCTGTAATTATCAATAAAGGGCAAAAAGCTATTGCATCTGTAACGGAGTTATTTCCAGAAATGTCTAAACAACATCAATGCATTAAGTTAATAAGATTGCCTTAGAATACGCGGTAATTATTTATGGACATATGAGATCTTTAGAATAGTATCGGGAGTCTTTCTCTACCTTGCTAGGCCCTTTTTATCTGACTTCTCAGGTCATGGCCCTCATTCTCACTGCACATGTGAATACAAAAAACAGGAAAACCAAACACCTAGATATAAGGACCGTTTTGCAATTCTCCGGAACGGGATATGTGAATTGGCTGTTTAAATAGAATTTGAGTGTCGGATATGAAGATAAATAGAAAGTAATCGTGGTATTCACAGGCAAAGGTAATAACATCCAAACGGGTCGGACATTTTATGAAGAATGTCGTAAATACGCACGAAGCTCGATTCGAACGCTGAATGTCTCCCCAGTGGCGCAATCGGTTAGCGCACGGTACTTATATGGCAGTGGCCGTGAGCAATGCCGGGGTTGTGAGTTCGAGCCTCACCTGGGGAATATTTTCTAGCTTATGATGGCATTCGTTTTTCCAATCAATTAATTTAAAGATCAATCAGTAAGGTCAGCACGGTTAACGTATTCAGTAAAGTGGCCAATATAAGTATCGCACTGTTTCTTATGAAACTAGGTTTAGTATACTAAGTAGCAGCTACAATTGTGTGCTACGGATCATAGCAACTGCCGAGGATGAAAAGACTTCAGTTACATCTTCATATCCCCAGTATTTGGTGTCCAGTGGGTTAAGCTGACTGTTTAATTGTTCGTCTCAAGTTTTAATTTCAGCAAGTAACATACACGTACTTCAAACAAAGGGGATATGATTTGTCTGCAGATGACGATACTGGACCTGTTTCCTTTATCGTCTGTACATTGACAAAGGAACAACGTAAAGATATCAAACTCCCGTTTAATCATTTACCGTGCCGAGTAATCTGTGGGTAGTTTGTAAACCATCGACCATATTGTAATAAACATTCCTGTGCTTCAATTGGAAACTAGGTAAATGACATATAAGTATATTTTTATATAAGCGGTCGGCATCTCCAAAGAACCTTGGATCCTCTTCGGAATATAGTCTTACAGTTCAGTGCATTCTGAACCGTAATATCTACTTGGTATTTATAAAATATAATAGTTGGTACCAGTGATATGCGAAGCATTTTCCACAAGCGTTATTGGATGTAGCAAAGGTAACGGCGCCGAGACGATTGGATTTGTAAAAGAAGGCATCAATAATGAAAAATATTGCATATTATGATGATGATAAAACCACTAAAGGGTGAACTACGATTTTACAGAAACGCTGATATGCATGGAAAAATAACGGCAAGGAAATCTACACGAGTTCAGTCAATAGGAAGGGCAAGGCGGGTCTAATGTGTATGTGTATGTGTTCGAATAATGAATTGCATAGTTCATTTGCTATATTATCTATAAATCATAAGATCATTTCAGACCGAGTTCTTATGCTACTTCTTCAGTTCATCGGCCAACCGTAGTGTTATCGAAATCATCATTCAATGTTTTTAGGTAAATAATGGTTACATGAAACGCATCCAAAATATTTTCTCTCTCCATTGTTCTGACATATATACAGGGCAAGGTTAATATTTGTAAATTATAGTACTAACATTTTAATTGAATGAAGGTACATTATTAGATGGTACACTTGACTTGACTCATCACGCGTCATTAGAGTGCGCGAGATAAATTCTTCTCTTAAAGTCAAAAAATAAAATATAGTAAAGGGTTTTCTTAGTGTGCTAAAAGTTCGGCATATAAGGTTAACGGCTCAAAAGCAGTTATAGCCTCGTAAATACATAAATACTATTACATCTACATAGTCTTGAAATCGTCTCCGTGGCTGTCAAGGTAGTAGGTTTAAAGCTGTCAACCTAAGTGATATAGTTGGTTTTTAAGACGCTTAAGTTTTTTAGCATGGTTTATGTATTCTTTTATTATTTACACCTTTAAATTGAATTGAGTAAAAACATAATTCTATTAGATTTCTCTTCAATTTACATATAAGTTCACCATGTGTTTTACATCCATAACATAATTTTTGTACAACTGAATTTTATACTAGCTATATCAATACGCATATATCAGTTCTGAATGAATGGTTTTAAAACCCGTAGATTTGATAGGTTTGTAATTCATTGAACCATTTCTTTGGCGTATTAAAATACGTCGTCAAATTGGGCTATTGGTAGGGCAAAGGTTCCTTGATCCGGATTATAGTACTCGAATCTGCAATGAAAATCCAAGCAGCACATTATTCATTGTTCAATAATTACTCTCAGTTCTAGTATGATGACTGGTTAGAATATTAGACTAGCACTATTCAAATAATTATTTGTTTATCCCAGTACTAACAGGCTTTAACCAATGCGCTCATTGCCTAAACTTTCATATCTTCTCAATTTTCAGTTATTTATTTGGATGAAATAAAAAGAAGAGCAGAGAAAAAGCACCGCCTACCAAAGATGGAAAAGCTTAGTATTTAGTCTTCTTCTGTGCGCCACACCACATAGGTTACTTTAGCCTAGTAGATAGATAGTAAAAGGGAAGCGTCCATTAAATTAAGACTGTAAAAGAGACCTAAGTTATTTTAACCAGAAATACGTTGTCTTAGAGAATCAACATTTTCAATAGCAAACGGTTGTTTAAATAACGGTATCACGTTGAAAATAGCTGCTTAGTTCAAGATCGCCCAACAGTCTGTTTTACTCGAAACGGTCCTATGTTCGTAGATAAGAGGTCAATCAGCGACCGAAGAGGTGATAATTTTCGGATCTTGTATATGTTTACATGACGTCTCGAGGCCTAAATGAGATCCTAGTTCAACTATAAGATGAAAAGTTCGGACAATTTATGTAACACTGTTCATTTGCAAGCAGAATATGTATTTCAGCTTAGTTTTTTTGTGACAACAGAAGTAATAAATGCCAGAGAAAATTCATGACTTATGGCTTCTTCAATTCTTTAAACGCTAAATGGAAAAACATTCTGTTATAATTTACCTACCTTGTGCCCTCGTAGGGTGGAAAATGAGGATTCGTGCTGGCCGTTGATGACCTTCTCCACAAGGAAGGTTTCAGCTCAAAACGCTTGAAAGATGGTTGGCGTTGAAGTTTAGGGGTGGTCCTTTCTTTACTAACACCAGCGCTTTCAGATCCTAATGGAGCTTCGGAGTTCGTTGAAAGAACATCTGTGTTTCTATCGTTTGCAGGTTGGAAGTGTCGTAACGGTCTTTCAGAGCCGGTGACGACCTGATCTCGAGCTGAGGAATCATCGACCAGTGATGGGGTCGGTAGCATTGCGAGCGGTAATGGAGAAGGAGGAATCCGTTCGCCCGCTCCAATAAAGTCTGTTTGCAGAAGAGGAACAAAATTGAGTCGGCTATATACTGTTTATGAACCCCATATTCGTTCAAAGAGGTAGACTAGATCAGTAAATACCGGTAGTACATTTAGCTTGTTTTCAAGCAGCGCGATGCGATAGTAAGGGATGCACTGCACAATACAATCGTAATCGTTATGAAAGCCGCAATGTCTTCATGGCCCGCTAAATGAGATTCCGTAGATATATGCACAACTTCATTGTAAGTGAAAGTAAGGAACCCCGTGGTATGTTGACATACTTTTCCGAGATATTAGTCTCTTTCTACATAAACTGTACGAAGCTTATTTGGACTATACTTTTCAATCTCATTTCCATTTTGTCTAGGATACACAATCCAAGAAACCCCGATGGCTTTTCCGCGTAGCAGTACTTCAAAATGTTGCTCTTTTAAAGAAATGTCTCAAAATTATATGGACCTTTAACTAATTTTTTGACAAATCGAGAACTTATGCTAGGTTTTTTCGCCTTCCTATATGTACACTGTGTGTCTAAGCCCGGAAACGGTCATCTCGCCATTAAACTATCGAGGCTAGATATGAGGCCGACCTGAAGGCGATATAGCATCAGGCAAGATGTAATTAAATTTGTTAAAATAACAAGTTTACCAAACTGTTTGGTATTTCAGAGAAATAGGAGTAAACGTCAATAGAGGGCTATGTAGAAACTCTCACAGTGATACATATGCGCATTTGTAGGAAGCGGTACAACTAGAAATGAAGGAATCAATTTAAATCAATTTCGTTATTACCTTCTGAAGAAAAATTTTTTTTCTTTTGATTTGGAAGAATGGTTTCGCCAGCTTCTGTTGTCACAGGTCGCGACGGCGGAGGAACCTCTTTGAGCTTGTGCAATGATTTAGGTGGATTTGATGTTTCATAAATTTGGTTCACGACAAGATTATTTGGTGGTAGAAGAGGCCGCGCAGAGCAATTCATCTCGTCTTCACAGGTGTCTTTTGCAAGACATTCCTCATGTGCAATACCTAGCTCGATAAACGCAATTCATAAAAATGTTTCACAAATCCGTTATTGTGCAGCCCTCATTGTTTAGACGGACTAGCCTTGTGTATTCATTTTTGGCGGCATCTGAATTATATTGTAAATATGCTCACAAAAGTGTGCACTGTCTTTCCTCTCTAAGGCAGCCTTTTGAACTTAACAGTAGTTTTTTTTTGTCTCTGTTTTGCCTTTCACCTACTATGTATCACCGGGCTGGCGGCTCCCTTATAAATTGCAGAGTGGAGTTAATGTGAGAGTAAGAGCTTCTTTCGGGATCGGTTCTTAATGGAATTGCTTAGAACAAAAATATTGGAGATAACTAGCTTAATAGCTTTTGTCTTTTAAATTTGACCCCAAAAACGACACAGCGTTCTTTAAGAGCAAGTCAGTATTAAACTTCTATTGCTACCTATGTGATAAATAAAGAACTACTAATTAAAGAATACTTTTCATAATATGATGACACCATTTTGTCCTAAAATTGAGAAAAAGATAACAACAACTCTTTTAACGACGAAGAGCATACATACAGACTAAAAAATGCCATACAATCAATCCAATATGTATCGTATTTCATATAAGTATTCCGATTATTTGAAGCCAACCTTTGTCGCCTTTAAATACAAACTGCATTATCGATTTCAACAACAAATAAAACGCAAAGGTCTTTCGAGGCAGGTAAAAAAATACACGCACCTGGTGCAACTTTATCACGAGTAAAGTCCTTGTGCTGCAATACTTGATCGGAATTCTGCTCATTCGATTTTGAGATGAATTTCTGAATTTCATCCTGCAAGTGTTTTCTTGCGTTCTGGTCCCTACCGGCAGACGCGACTACATCGGACCGACTCTTATTGAACATTGCTCGATGATAGAAGAACATTAGTAGGAGCAGTACCAACTAAAAATATCGTTGATCACATAGCGAAATACTTCTACATTATAATATTGGATAAAAGACATGTTATAGGTTACTTAGAAGGGAAATATAAATAAGGCTGCAAGTATTCATATGTCATAGGGAACATGCAAGCGTACTCGCTATCATGCACCTCATACATGGATCTAATCAAAGACTAATGCTAAGACGAATAAACAGTATTATTGAAAACAACAATAGTACTTCCCTAGTTCTGGTCGTATTGAAAATCTGCTCTTATAAAGTACTATATACCTTAGCAGGTATATGGTAGAAATGTGGCACAAACAGTCAGAATAAGGTTAAGGAAGAACCGTTACAAGGTGCCAAGCTCACGCTCACATAGCAGTAACAGAATCAGAAATAACAGTAACAGAAATCAATGAAATATTTTTCCAAAAATAATAAAAAAAGCGTAATCTTGAACTGCTCAACCCGTTGCGGAAATATTTCTATATAAATTGAATAATCTTTATCCGTGCTTTAGTCGAAAGTACTTTTTCATGTAAAAACTGCTTGAAAATAAAATTTTGTCTAGTTACACTTTATTAGCAATCAGCTTGTAAACAATATTAAACTTTTTTCTCACGGATATTCCATGTCTTAGGTAGTTTGGTTAACAGAAAGTTAGAATGTGGACAGAAAATAATAATACTGATTAATGATAAAGTTGCTATGAATTTAGAACAATTTAAGAGACGTTTCTGACATTTCTGCAATTAGTGACCGAATTTAGTTAGAGATTACAAACTTCGGAAACAAATCCACATTGGTATATGAACATATTTAATATGACCTCTAGAAGGGTAGGAAATAAGATTCTACCGAAAGGCATTAATCCCAAAAAGAGTACCAATAAGCATTGTCTCGTGCGAGTGATAAGCTCTTGCAGCACGGTCTGTTTCGTTATCCCGTGCGGAAATTCTTAGAATGCGTAGTGCCAAATCACCGCGTTATCTTATTTTTATGAACAAAGATATCATAATAAGATTCCTTCATTGATAATTGCTGTTGAAAGGGTATGCTTAGAAAACCTACCTCAAGAACGAAAAGGCCAGAAAATAAGCAACTTATAGCGATTAGAAATACCTGAAATTAATTGAAACAAACTTTGTAAAACACTTAGATGTGGTTGTCATTGATTTTTTGTTGGACAGTATTCTCTTGGTATTTCAATGACAACTGTAGTCTTGATTTTCTAGAGGTGTTCTAAATTCTCCTTTATTAAAATACGGAGATGTATAAGCAGATAAATAAATACAATTGGAGTAAAGAATGGACAATCCATGACTTACTTTAGGCCGCTCCTCATTATCATTTGTATCACCTCTCAACATTCCTGAGTCAGCAGACGCGACATGTGCAATGTACACACTAAGGATAACCATTAGCAGATCCGCAATGATAATTCCACAAGTGACTCTTGACTTGTATTGCCCAACATGACGCAGATCATTCCACCACAATAATTTAGTAGACGTTTTTACAATAGATTACAACACGTGAATCAAAGTTTGCGTATAAATTTAAACTAGATATCAAAATATATTATCATCATTCTTGTTTTTATTTTCAAAGTATATAGAGAAAAATCCAGAGACAACCTGTAGCCCTAGAACTACAAGGCAACAGCGTATAAACGATGGTGGCTGAGCAGCATTCCGTAGATGCGGTAATATTACCAATAGTTAATATTTATAGGATTTTTACAATATGGGTCAATAAACAATTAAAATACTGAATATAGTTCTATATATAATATAGAAAATAATGATAATGAAGACAGAGCTTACCCTTTTTCTAAGTATCTCGAGGCAGAATGATGTGATAAGTACTGCTAGTGAAGCTGCGCTGTAAAACCAAAATATTGTCTTCCATTTCGCTGAGCACAGAAATTCATGCAAAAAAGCCTGGAGTTAGCAATATATGCCCGATTCGCTGTTTCAACTGAGTTCGATGAACAAGCAAGCAAATCATTCGATTATCCTACTTTGAGCAAATACATTTTCCTACTCCCACAACCCCTTTCCAAAAATATATATAGACACTTATGTTGGGCGGTAATGGAAGATGATGCTTAAGATGCTTTTACTAAAAATGTATATGTAGTACAAGTAACGAACGCTAGGAATGGTAATTTACTATTATTTTCTTTAACATTTAACTTGTAGGATTAATTAAAATAAAAGTTCATATATAAATACTCCGAGACGAAATTCGCTTTGATCTGACATATGGAAGTAAAATTATGAGTAGGTTTCCTAGTGATAACCATAGAAAAAGAAGGGACTCGTACCAGGTTCGTGTTGAATTCGCTGAACTTTGGAAATAGCGCTTTCAAAATTAGCTATGAGAAAACTTTTGCTGTTTAAAAAGGAATACTTTAAATCCTGATGTAATGCCATAACTTTATTCGAAAGCGATTTCTTCGATAAGATTTCATCCAACCTATTTGCATTTAAAAAAAGAGTCGTTAACTCAAGCAAGGAATAGTTAGGCTGTTTGACGTTATTTGCTTTCGTAAATTATGGTTGGAGTACTTGAGCTGTAAGAGCTTACAACTCAATTCGACATTCCTATACTCACGTTACAAAGCAGCCTTTGATTGTACTTCAGCTGCAACTTTTCCGCTGTTACGAACTGTACATAAATATGTTACATACGAAAAGTATGTATATATATATATATATATATAATATCCATCATGAGTTCTTACTTCGAAAATCGTCAAGGAATTTATCGGATAATGGATGCCACACAAGTATTCCTCCCAAAGCAGCACTTACTAACATGGATGTTAGCGCAAGCATCTGAAATCGAGAAGAATTGGACTGAATTGAAGGCCGCATACAAACATTTTGAACTTGCTTTTTTATGATTTTCCTTATTGGCTTCCGTAACAATTCGTGATTATTCTGTTCAGACCAAGCATAATCTGACCTGCAGAGTCCCATAATACGACCTTATAAACTTAAACGTTTTCATAAACACACTATTGACACGGATACTGTAGATTATGCTTCAGCCACTTTAAGCATACGAATGTAGAAATGTATAGACCTAAAACTGTTCCTTTCAATTGCACGATTCTCTAAAACATACATGTGTGTTCGATTATATTATAGATTTGCAATAAGGAACGTCACCCAGATTTTTGCATGAAAACTGAAAGAGTATAATTGAAGATAAATATGGTAACGTACGCAGTAAGGTGAATGACTTCACGAAAATGTTTTTCTTTTTAAAAGCTAGCGACGGAAAGGCAAGACAAAAAACAGACTTCATAGACTTAAGTGCCTTCTTGTTTTATGTACATTTACCGCCCAGTTTCTAAAACAAGTCCAAAATTTTGCCACAGGATTAAACTTTTACAATGAAAAGAATGACAACCGACGTTGAAAAACAGAATTACTATAATTGCTGGACATCAATTAAGAATGTTGTAGTCGCGTCCTGTATCACTGCCATTATTCTAGACGTCATGTTGGGATTGATGCTCTTAGAGTTGCGAGCGAAATTCGGTAAACGATAAATTAGCTAGCATTTTTATGTTAGCTTCATTCCTCAAAACTGCTGAAATTTTTATCATCTCTGTTCACACTAATTGTAAGCAGGTTTGCGAATTTTAAGCACTATTAAATAGAAATCTTTCTGAATTCATCATTAATGAGCATAGAGTATAACACCCACGACAAAGCACCCGTGCTCTATGCACAAACCTTCATGTTATCAGGCCAGCCCAAAACTCTCCAATATTAGCAGCAGTGCACATGGATAAACGATAAACAGTGACGATTTATCCTCATGACTCGCTCAAGATTCAAAATGCATAACCTCAAGCCACGTTTATATTGAGTACTGCTGCAGGATTTCCAAAACGAAAAAAAACACTTACGTCAAAAAAGCTTGAAAATACTAAACCAATAACAGTTTATATTTTTAACGCGTCTGTGACCAGTTTTCGTCATTGAGCCTAACTACTCGTAGCAAGTTATAGTGTGAGATAAACGCTTAAGTGTCCTATTGTGAACGAAATTGCCAACTTATAGTTCGATGACGTGTCTTTCAAAACATCTAAGGTTTTGTCAACTCGAAAAGTGCTAACTATAAAAACCTATTGGTCGTTCGAGCGCATTAGACTATACAACATGACCGTATGCAACATGGGAAAACGTCACCGTAAGGCAAAAGAATTTAAATCGCAGTTCTTTCGGGCCAACAACTGCGATCCTATTTCACACAGAAGCACGTAATTAATAATAACTTGTGTACCTAATTCGTTTTCGTTATGCTGCTTTACATGCAGCTTTTACGTTTTCTTAATATCCTATACGATATTCGCGACAAACAATGGGCACGCAGTTGCTTTGATTTGCATTTTAACCAAACTATCGCGTTTTCCTACGCTTCGTGCTATCTCTATCATACGGCACTCAAATAAAGCGCGCGATCCCCCTACAGAACAAACAACAATGATATGTACATAAAATTCATTGAAATTCGATTTATGCGTTCTTTAGGGCCCAGGCCAGAAAAGTAATGGTAAATGAGTGCAAGTAATCACCACATATCTATGTTCATGTCGGCTAAGCAACAGAAAGCTCAGCCATTACAAATGGCTTATTCAAGCATCTTATTTAGTCGTCATCGAAACGATTCTGAGTCTTAACCCCGTTGCTGCTTCATGGGCCATCTTGAGCAAATGCACTGACAATAATCAATGAAATAGATATTGGTGGATATTGACTGTCCACAACATTCGACTTTATTATAACTGATGTCGGAATAAACGTTATATTGCATTGTAGTAAAAAAAAATCAATGAAACACAAACCATTCTAAAGAAAGCGAGGTTTTTGGTGAGAAATCCTTTCGACTTTACTTCGACAGTGCGTTTCCCCTGCTCCGAGTCGGCGGAAGAGGTCATTTTTGTCAACTAGAAATATTAGCCCTTTAGATAACTGAATGGCGTTGCTGAAATAGATACATCCAGTCACTGGGTCTTCACTTATCAAAGTCATTAGACTTTAAAGACTAGAATTAGTAGTCTTCAACTAGGCATGCAATGCTTCTCCTGATGACAATGACTCCCATTCTAATTTGATATGTTTGTACACAAAATTGGACAGTGATATTGTACAGATGTGCTCTACATGCTACTACCTTGACTGTGATGACAGTGAAGCGTACGCACTTTTTCCAAAATCTGCTCACTTACAGTACACGCAGACTCAAGATTTTACGTTCTCCTTCCCGTTTACGGTTGTGCGCTTGCGCCGCGAATTCTGACAGCTAGTGAATAAGGAGCGATTGTATAGCTAAAAGTGAAAAAGCTGCGCCTGTTTCAGGCGCTACTAGAAAATTACAAGCGGTACGGCAGCAAAATTCACTTTGAAGGAATCAGCAATTGGCAACGTGTCCTGGATGGACAGCAGCGGTTGCCAGTTCCTGAGCTCCTTTGTTATACTGACGCCAAACGCAGAGGATTCCACCAAGTAATCTTGTTCATAACTGTCGTGAAAAATGAGAAACACAACAATAATGAAAGTAGCAATCGAACATTTTCGAGCAATGCCTAGACCGGTCGAAGCTTACCACGGCCCGTGCCAATACTTTTCTAATTTTGACCTGCCGTTCTTGCCTTTGCTATCATTGTGGCTTACCAACCAATTCGCTAGCATTCGCCGCCAGCTGACCTACTGATTGAGCAACAATGTCTACTACAACAAGTTTACTGGCTGACGCATTTCAACGCCAACGAACGATAGACTAGCCCCAGCTTACTGTAGCCTAATACACGCCGTCTAATACCAAGCAGTTAAATACACACTGCACAAGACGGCGATAAGAGAAAGGCATTCAAGATCGACAATCTGCAAGCACAAGAACAAGCCACACTTCATAATCATAAGGAAGCACAGGTTACATGTTGAATCCGTCTGAACCTATAATATTTTAAGTGATTATATTCCTAACAGTGCGCAAAAACACTTTTCCCTTTTGTTTTGTTGGGTATAACTAAACGCCAAAAAAATATGGACGATGACTGTAAAAGACACCAAAAAAAATTGGCTATCATTTAATCTTACCACTTGATTTTATATATATATATATTCTCATTCATATACCTTTTACCGATAAAGTTAAACAATAAATTCAGATGCGGATATAGAAGGGTGCTAACAATGACTGACTGGGAAAAATAGATATATTTGTTCACAAAAGAAATCGACTGCCACAAAAGCAAATCTAATACATGGATTGCGAGAAAATCGCTTGCGGAACAAAGTCGCGCACTCAAAACACAATAGCGATTGTAAATGCCGGCCGGTGTCGCCCAACAGGAGGTTGCAGAGAGCGAAGAGTCGATTAATTCCCAAGTCTCCTCCACCTTTAGCTATCGGAAGTGGAATTACTTCAACATGTCTTGCTGCGTTTAGCATGAATCCTTTGTAAAAGTTCTAGTAAAAGGTTACTACATGTAGAGGGTTTTTTATCGATCTAGCATTTCGGTTTGAAAGTAAATACCTTGTTTTCAAACGCTATAAAAATTACATCGATGTGCAGAGTTATTAGCACTTCTATACACTCGTAAACTCAGCGTGGATTAGATTTTTTTCTATCCACACAAATTTTGTAGAAATTATATATTATTGTTCGGACCTTAAACGCCGACCCCGCAGTTATTTTTCAACCAGAAACTCAGCTATCTAAACCACAGCGTTGATGCTCGCGGCATTTCACACACGCACATATATAAACCTTTCGTGATTGATCCACGTTGTGTTTATTACTCATCGTAGGTTTTATGCCTCTTCGTGGACAAGCTGTTCTTAGTTGATGTTACCTGATTTATATCGCTTGAATAGGACACTTGCTGGAAAATAACCTTTGCATACAATCGCGATTAGTCACCATCGCAGTAAGCAGTCAACACAGTTAAGTCAACATGATTCCTAAGCCTGTTATTTTAGTCTTCGAAACGGTTTCATGCCGCTTTTTATCTGCTTTCCTAAAGATAATCGATCTTTTTTGGTTTATTAGCCTTTGAGGATAATCTAATTACATGATCGCTCACGTGCACCTTTAGTCACATTTATATATTTAGTTATGGCCAGTAGCACCTAATTAAATGCTCTTTAATTAACGACGAGATTAACCTACTTTAGGAACGGATGTGAATTTCTAATATTAATCACTTTTTTAAGCAAAGAAATAATGAAAATATCTTGCTTACAACGTATTTAGAATAAAAGGCATATTTCACTGATGAGTAAGCTTAACATGCTGACAACTTTAGCTGAAAAGGGCCATATAAAGCATTCAATCCGAACAAATTTTATCGTGTGGTTTTAGGCTTAGTTATTGATAAGGGTCGGGTTTGGACTCTTGCATAGTTCAAAATCACATCCCCAACTCGCATCTAGCTAATATCAGCATTACTTTCAAGATCAAAATAACCAATCTTTTAAGTTTAGGTCTAAACTGACTTAGTATTGTATTGGCCATCGCATGCCTGACCAGTTCCTTTACTCATTGTTAGTACCATAAAACATCACTGCCTGCGCAGACTATGGACTATGTGCAACGGTAATGGGTTACACCTTGCATATATCCTTTGTACGAAAAATGTATAAATGACATTCAACTTGGATCTTTTACCGTTGAGAGCCAAATACAAAGATTACTAAATTTTTCTTTGAAGAGCATATGTTTTAATATCACTACTAGTAATAGAATTATAATATTATTATACTAGTAATAAGTTATACTAGTTTGAATGAGTTAAAATGTACACAATCTTTATACTTCACGGATGTGTCTACACCTGCATACTCTTACCCGTTTTTAGTAATACAAACGCAGATTCTGTAATAGACAAACACATTTCGCATGTTGACATCATTGTTGATTTAGAGTAAAGCTTCATCCTAAATTATCTGAAATTTTTATATATCACATTACGCTCTGCCTTTTGTTAAAAAAAAGAGTGGTATTCCGGCCCCATAGCTCGTGCCATGTAAGTAATGGTGTATGGCCATTTAACGCTTGCATTCACCAGATACTCAAAGGAAAAGTTCAGAATGTATTGAAGCTATCGATTTGTGCACTTAGTCGCTTCAAAACTTCGTTCACCTTTTTTCCGTTTCGTCAGCACCGTCATTCATCTCAAACCATGATAGTTTTTCGAGCAGAGGAATCTTTTGCCAGGATTGAAATTAGCTCTAATACACTGATAAACGCTTAATACCCATCGAGCAGTGAAAATTAACTTGATGACATACTAAGCATAGATAAAAGGCAGGCAAAGCTTGATGGCTTTGAAATGCGTTATTAGAGTGAATTATTAGGAACATCTTTTTTGAGCTAATCCAGCAGAAGGGATAATCTCTAACAAAGCTACGTGAGTGATGACAAGGATTTTTCTTCAGTATATACATCCAACCTACTTCTCTTCAGGATCGTAAGCTCTCTTTTGCAACATTCTATGGGTCATCGGTCCAGATTAAGCACAAAATTATCATTGCCATTAGCAGGAATAACTCATTTCTTTGATTAAAACCTAGCCTGTGGCACTTCGTATGAATCGCATAGGCAGAAAACAAGACAAACAGTACATTTGTTTTGAAATGCATTGTTTATTCAACAGTCATAGTCCAAAAAAAGGGCACGGTCCGTAGTTTTTACCATAGTACTAAGGGTGGGAGGGGGGGGGGGTCGAGCAGTGGGCTAATAGCCACTTGCTTTACTTTCGCCAGCTTTAGAACCACGACATATGTTAAAAGATGCTAATGATTCACATGCGGTCAACGGTTCGGATACCAAGAATACCGAATCCTTTTTCCATAACCTGTGCAGTCGCCTCACACAGTGCCAAGCGACCCATATTGATCTTCTTAATCGTACCGTTTACTTTATCTTTCTCGATGCAGTAACAATTGTCGTAGAACTCGGAGAAGATTGAGCTTAGATCAAATAAATAGTCACACAACGGATGAATGTACAACTCTTCGAGCATTGCGGAGATAATCTCGGGGAACCTGCAACGTGCAACATATTAGAGAACAATATATAATATACTAATAAGATAAATACCTTCAAAATACTGAATATTTGATACGCATCGCCAATTTCACCGTAAATAATAATAATATTGTAAACCGCTGTAGACACATTTAAACAAAATTGCAAGAGAACTCGAAGTCTCACAAATATGAGTTCAATGCACTACAATCACTGATTTAAACGAATTAAGAGCTACAAAGCAAAAGGACAATAACTTAAAATGATATAAGAAAAAATTGCCAGATCCGGTCATAATGTCAAGTACCTAGGACGCCTAAGGCTAAACTAATAGAAGAGTATTTCGAAGCTTCCAAGCCTGTAAAGTATACATATATATATAAGTGTTTGTGTAACCTCAAGAGGTGTTTTGATAGTTTAATCTCTTTGGGATGTTCAAGAAGAACGTGTTTGTCGGCTGTCTCTCGTAGCGCAGTTGTGTTCACACCGGCAGTTCGCGCAATTGAGCGAATTCGGGTTAATGAATAAAGTAAGTACGCTGCTGTCTTGCCTCGGTCGTCTAACATCTGCAAAGGATTGTTGATTTTAATTGATGCGTCAAGTTATTTTAAATGTAATTATTTCAGGCTTTATATCGAGTATTTCTTTCCGATGAGAATTTGAAACATGAATATCCAGCAGAGTATACCTTAATTTAGTCACCATCAACAACTTCGTCGTATTAGGCTTAAGCGACTAAATGCTCACAAAATAACATACGAACCCGATCAAATGAGAATACATAATCGTTTTGCCTAGAATTTGTGAGATCGGCGAATTTGATGCAACCAAATGCCACGGCTTCCTGAGCTTTCTTTAACTCTTCCGGAGTCAATTCCTTATCGCGACCTTTTAACTTCAATTTTTCTAGACACCTATAAGGAAGTTCATCATGAATAAAGACACACAGATAGTAAAACCACAAAACAAATTTAGAACTTCTTCAGACAATTTATGTTCTGCTAAAACACGTGGTTATTTGAAAGGCACATTGGAATTAGCCTCAATATGTTGTTTTATTAAGTCCGAACTTAAGCTTGAACATAAGTTTCTGCGAGATTTACTGCATGCATGAACGATTTGTGTTATATTAATCGTTTTAGCAACTTCGCACCTTTCACAGCCTTCATCAAGCAGGTCGTTAAGCTTGACGGTGTCTCCAGAGCGCGTTTTAAACTTCTTACGATCCTCACCAAGTACCAAGCCAAATGCCACATGGTCTAGCCGGACGTGGTTGGGCGCGTACCCCACAAGCTGAAAATTAAATTGTTCTTATCATTCTGCTTGACTACAATATATTAGCGATATTTAGTTTTATTCTATTGAAAATTAATTAAGTCTACCCTTTTCTGCGAACGCCTATAGCATTTTTGTTGTCAACGCAGCATCATTAGCAAGTAAATTATCCCTAGATTTATTATATTTAGCTTATTATTCCAATCTCGCCGTGCTATCCTGTATGTATCTGACAAACAGTATCTATTTATCAAATGCAATGTAACATTATTATTGTATTGATATAAAAAAAACTATAAAAAATAGACAAAATAGCAAACGTTTATTTTAGTCGAGACTACTCTGATCTATGTATTTATTAAAAATGCCATCCGAGCCTTGTTCTCACCTTGGCACAATCAAATAGGGTCTGAAAGTGCATACGCTGGCCGCCATCGACCACGTAAATGATCCAATCGGCTTTCTCCACCTAACGAACAAGAGCAAGACGTATATTAGTTACCAAACTTTTCTTTATAATAGTCCGTATGTTTCGAGTTTTACATCCGGTATCGCCGCTAGACATCCTATCAGATGGCTAGTTCCTAGTACGAAACACGAAAAATCGTGTGTACGTTAGGGTTCGAATCTAAACCATAACGTGCCCGTAATATTATCAGGCAAATACATTACTCATTAAGCTGTTACGGGCATCGTTTATAATTGTCTGCTACGCAAATAGGCTTGCAAGCGTGATACAAGTTAATTAGTAGTTATCCATATGCAAAACAATATCAAGAAAGCGATTATTTAAAAATGTTTATCAATACCAATAGTAATAGTCGCGTACTAATGCTGATTGTTAACAATTGTAAATGTTTGGAATCGCCGCAGAATTCGCTGCTATTATTAACCGTTTTTTTCTGATTTGCCAAATATGCTTCGATTTCCTCGAACATAGTTCACATTTTAATATGTAGCAATTTCAAATAGTCATATTCTCTAAACCCAATTTAACCTTAAATGCAGAAAGCCTAACTTCTATCGTATTCTATATAGTGCGCTATATAGTTCACAACACAATGCTACCTAGAAGCTATGACAGGAAATTGAGAGAACTTTAAAAATGTTTAGGCTGTTTATATCGTTATATGGGGCGGAATAAAAGAACTGACGAGACGTAAGCAAATTGACGCAACCGAACGTTTACACCGTAACGAGTTATTCTTATATTAAGATATCTGTATGCAGTTATATGATTTAGATACTGCAACTATTAGTTTCGCCTTCACGGCTGCACATTAACATTCAGACGTCAGAGTGACAACAATCTGTGCTGTGGCATTATAAGTGTGAAACACTAAACACATTTTAGTAAACATTATTCACTTATCGTTTCTTTTCAGAGCAAATTACAATTTAAGCAAAAGCAAACTTTAGCTTATATGTTCTCCAACCTTTTGTCAACCATAAACCTACTTTCCCCAAGAGTAAGCCTATTTTTTCTAAACTAAAAAGATGAATCGGTCTAAATTTTGGTATACGTACCTCTATACGATGTTTGATACAAGCCATGTCTGAGGTGTCATATGTGTACCCGCCGTCACTTTTGACCATAGTTAGGGGAATTAGTTGTTTATTTGTCGGAAAGAGAAGTTTTCTGCCATCATCTTCGATCAGAAGGTTACGCTTCTCAAGGTCAGCGATCACCTCATTCATAAAATCGTGGTAAAAGCTTTCGCCTCGTTCTATCAGATTTACATCCAGTTTACGGTAAATCTTTTCCAATTCTTTTCGGCTTACATCGCAAATTAGCTCCCATGCCTTTATCATATCCGTGTTTTTGGATTGCAATAGCACAACAGACTGGTAAGCCCTCTTTTTAAATTCTTCATCGTTATCGAAACGGATCTTCGACTCTTTGTAGAATTCCTGCATAAAAACACAAACGGAGAACTGGATTAGTTAGCTTTAGCCAATGCTGTTGTAAATGAAAATGCAGGCTAAAAGTAGTTAAACGGGAAGATAATCGGCACATTCAATCTCCTGAATTAATCATATACTATATATTTGCATATAGGCTGGGATGCGAATAGGTGAGCACCCGGCAACAAGGCCAAATTGATTTTATTGAATGAACGAGTGGTGCAAATAAAATACAGCTTCACATAAACCTAAAAAATGTAAAACTATTTCATATTGAGACATACCTGCAAATCGTGGATTGGAGGAACGTTTTTATTGTAATCGGGAAACTTGTCCATGAGGTGTGCAATAAGCATGCCAAATTGGGTTCCCCAATCTCCAATATGGTTCAACCGAAGCACATCATGGCCAACAAATTCCAGCAAACGACATATAGACTCTCCTATTATCGTTGACCTGTTGATATTGTACAGTGATGTGAACAGCTATTAATAAATTAAGAAGGCTGCTCAACCGAGCTAGTAGAAGCATGAAGCGGATTTGAGAAATGAAGGAATAATAAAAACACAGAACGACATTTTGCAAATACAATTCGGCTATCTTTCGTTCCCAGTGATAACGAAAAGAGCTAACCGCAAATGCCCGACGTGCATCTGCTTTGCGATATTTGGTGACGAGAAATCCACAACCACCCGTTTTTTGCGTGCCACAAAGGGTGCGCGAACGCCCTTTTGAAGGAGTTGGATAAGCTGTGAGGTCACGAAAGACTGGTTCAGCGTGATATTAATAAAGCCTGTGGACGAGTAAAGAAAACATTTATTTTAAAATAAGGTTCAATTACATCACGTCTAATTCATAAAGCTCTTTAGTCCGCATTTAGCGACTGATAAAAACTGAAACATCTGAACGAATTACCGCAGGGAAGTCTCTACACGTAAGACATCTACGAAATATTAGTATGTTTCACTAACCTGGTCCAGCAATAGAAGTTTCCGCAATGATATCATTTGGCGGGAGATATTCAAGAATGCGTCTAGCAATCTCTTGAGGAGATAATTTCTGAAACAAGAAAAAAATTGTTTCATGCGGCATAACTGATATGTTAATTTATGGCGTTTTTAAGTGACCATTGTTATGAGCAGATTTAACACAGGCTGCTCGAATTAAGCATTTCATTAATACCTTGTTTCAAAAAAATGATATAACATTCAATGATAGAAAAAATAATAGATAACCAATCGCTTACTATTAGAATATATAAATCAAATAGTACCCACACTCACCTGTCCAACTCGTTTGTAGTACTGACTCAAAGGCATTGATGCACTACACTGATAGTCACCGAAATTTTCGTTCGTCGATGCAGTCAATGAAACTTGGACACCTCCATCATTCAAAGCCTCTGGGAACGCAATGCTAATTGCCTAACGATCAAAGAAAGCAAAAAGCGAAAAATTTCGAGTTAACCAGGAAGCCTATCATATGAATCGATAAAACGGCAATTCAAACTCAACTATGATGCAATAATTCAATTTACCTCCCAAAATAGCTAAAATCAAACAAAATGCTTCAATACCCTTTTTTGTAATTAGTTTAAAATTCAAAGCTGAATAATTTCATTACCGTTGTTTTTGTTTTTTTTGTAGCAGTCATATCTTATAATTAATATAAACATCGTGCTCACCTGCCTGAAGATGTCCTGAAGCAGGGCGAGCGGACTTTGAGCGCATGATACTCTGGCTTCTCTCACCATGGATTCCTCCGCAGCTACGTTCTGTGATCGATCCGATTATATCATAATAGTGTAGAACAACAAGCCAATTTACACAAAAATAGTATAGAAGTTTGTTAACGGGTCGTTATCTCGGCAAGCACAATTGCAAAGTTATAGCTTGAATGACATATATGAATGTATAACAAAAGCAGCTTTCTTCATACCAAATACCTACACAATGTATTCACGGATTTATTCAATTAAAATCGATGAAGAAAGCAACGAACCTTCTTTAACATTGCGATACGATACTGAAGTTTGGCATTCTGGGTTCGAAGCTTTTCGACCTCCTCTGGTACGCTGACTAGAAGCTCTCCTCGTGAAAGTGCTTCTACTTCATTAGTCAACTCCTGCAATTCACGTTCCTGAAAATACAGTATATACAAAAAAGAGAACCATACATTTCTAGCAATAGTTACTGGAACAACTTCAATTTTACCTCTTCTTAATCAAACAACTTTATTATTTTTAGAATTATAAGTTAATATTTATTAACATAATTATTTATTTTAATAATAATAATACTAATAATAATAATAATAAATACGGTTTTCTTTTTCAGCTAATATTTGGGCTACCGGCTGCAAAAATGCTAATTTTGATTGTTCGATTCCTGTACCATGTAGCTGAACATACCTTAATGGGCAACGACGCAGTAGATTACTACATTTATTATTATCATACTCAGCCGTTATTCAACTCAGCAGACATTTAGAAGGTGAATATTTATTATAGCCAGGCTGGCTTCAGTAAAGGAATGTCTAAAAGTTCTCTTTTACTGACCAACACGCCACCACTTGAAAGCTGTGCACAGTTTACCTAAATTCTTCAAGTTTTTATATTTCAAACTTGACGTCCAGTATCACTGCATTATTCATACCGAAAGTCAGCCAACCCTATGTCTGATGGAATGCCTAGCGGCAATATCGCATTTAAAGCTCAAAACATAGAGCTATCTACGATCTACAGCAACAAAACGTTTGCTAATGAAAGCAGTTTATTTCGCAATACAGCCTCTTTTTACGTTAAGCATATTTATGTAATCTAAATCACGCTGAGTCTACCATGCCGGAGAACTGATAAAATTTATTAAAACGTTACGCTGCCCAAGTAGCGGAAACTAGGATTCTTATTGCTTTATTTATTAAGTCAAATTCATATGAAACGCTAAATATATGCACATATATGTTTGTTTTGATTTACCTAGGTCGGTCTTGGTAAGAATTAAATCTATGAACTTTTTATCTACCCTCCACCCTCAATAAACAAAGACGGTCAATTTGTAATTCGCGTCTGTCTGCACCGTAACCATTAGCCTGATGATGAGTAATTTATTAACTTGATTACGAATAATTCATACATGGAATTCGTTGTTGCTAGCAACCTCCTGAATCCGGTACCTTTACATGTATACAAATCACCCGGTTCACCTTATTATTTAAGAATAAAGTAATAAGAAAGAAAATTCCAAATTTCTATTACTCCTACAGAATAATGTATTACGTCAGTTCGCTTCTACTGAAGCATATGCTCACACAGCGTATTTTTTACGATTTTACGATTTATAATTCATTTAAAAATGTGATCTAAAAATTTTACGATAACATCTCGTTAAGAGGCTCCATGAGGAAAAATACTATATGAGAGTTAGTAGAATAAACTGGATTTTTTTGCAAGTCTTTAAAGGATGACAAAGGCACATGGCGCCGGCCGTCTGTTATCGTCAAGCTGGAGTAATCAAAAATACTGTCTGTTTTTTCGTTAAATGTCTGGATGCCCATGATAATCGATACCGTGACATCCCATTCGACAAACACATGCTATAAATAAAAAATACCTTCTTTTGGAGCATCGAACAAAATTCAGATTCACTGGTAGTTGCCATCGTCGAAACCTACATGAGTACAAACATTCACAGGCAGACACTGAAATGCCAACATATAATAAAAGATCGAATTTGTGTCGTAAGTTTTCTGCTTTTACCATCTGGTCGAAAGTTACGGCATGAATGGATTAAACCGTGACACCGATTGATTCCTATTAAAAAATAATCTTTTACTTGCTTTTGCAACGTGTTCAAGCAGGCGAGCCTGCTTGAACACGTTGCAAAAGGTATCGGTCAGCGATAGCAGTAAACCGTTTTTTTAATCCATATCTCTTATATCTCTATGTTCATATATAGGTGCTTCATTTCATTGCGTGGTCGTTCTCTATTAACTACATTTACACTAGTGAAAGATCACAATACACGTTCCTTTGCGCGTATGTTGTTATTTATTTTCGTAGTCGTCTGCTTTCATTCTGGGTCGGCGATAGAGTCGAAAAACTATTGGCACACTAAACAACGCTGGTGTGTCTGGAAGAGGAATAAACTAAACGCTGGAGTAGTCAAAAGTTCTCGCCAATATTGATCTATTTGATCAAAAGACGGTTACGGTGTTACTCATAGGTATTTTTCGTATATTCATTTGTCAAAGGGCGGTTTCCACTGGTGTGTTAAACGTGAATAAAACGTGATGTTAGTGCACGGCAATCATGTGGTACCTTGGAGCTCAGCGCGGGAATGGTTTACGGTTCGAGATCAGGTAACGAAAATGTTATTCGATGAGATATTTTATATATGTTGCGCAGGATGATACCGAGTGTTACGTATGGCAAGCATTATAATGTGTAAAAACTTATTTTAGCCATATATAATTAAAGAAAGTTAAGTATTTCATAATTTAGATTCCTGATTATTACTCCAAGAATAAATCTAGACGTTTACAGGATACTTTAACTTTCAAATAGAATTAGGCTCATAGCATGCATGTCGAAAGAATTGCAGCGTACATTAAGAAAGCACTATTCGTTTTTCCATTACCAAGAATGCCCATTATAATAAAGGTTTTTTTGTTTTCTTATTTTAGATCTTAAGTTTGAAGCCCGAAAATTTAGAAAAAGCCCAGGCCTCGTTAATTGTGTGGATCCTTCGCTGCGACGTTAAACGTTGTCCGCCATATGTTGAAGCCACCGAACATCTCATTCGAGCCTTTGTTCTTGATGCTAGATGCTCGACGCCAATTGAGAATGGACAACTCGTTGAAACGTTTAGCGGGGCGATCAACAAATTTGTACAGTTGTTTCTTGAGCGTCGGCAACACAGTCATGCCAATCAAACTGAGTATCTAAGTAACAAGCAATTAGCTGAGAAGCTAGACATTCCTATTTGGATAATTGACGTACGTAACGACTGCACACATCATTTTCGCAGTAAGTATATTCTTACTTATTATCGATACTAAATGTAATCTTGTATGAAAGAAATGATACATGTAACGCAGAACTATTTTTAGTGATCCTAACTACATGGCTCCTTTTTGTTTTCGACAGTGAATAAAGAATGTTTACTTTATTTAATGACGAATTATTGTGGTATTAATGAGCAAGAATTAGAATCTAATATTCCTACAAATAATGAGGTCTTCTTTGGCTTTTTACAGGTTCTTTGTCTCTTCTACGACAGGTATCTAACATACTAATCCAGTGGTTAGTGGAAACATATTGGAAGCGTGACGAGCCAATTGTTACTACCCATTCGAAAAGCTCCGAAGAAACCTTAAACTTTAAGGATGTTTTGAAAGAGTATCTTGAGCTGGCTATGACGTGCGGACGGGGAACTGACGACAAGCATATTCATTCTCTGCTCGATCAGCTACGGACTGCTATAACTACTGACGCCGCGGCTTTTGTCAAACATATCGCGGAAGCAGAACTGCTCGTCACGACCAAAGAGGAAGACGCCGAACAGCTGAAGATGACCGCGGTTCCTTTGGCTATGCGACGAACTTGGTTACCAATTTTCCACCTATTACAGGATCGAGTGACGCTGTTATTTATCGAAATTCTGGGACACTATAAGTTGCCTAAGGTGATTATGTCGGGTCAGGCTATTAATCCGCAGATGCGTCTCGTATTGCTGTGGCTGCAGTTCCTTCTCTCTGAGATCGCTGTTTTTAACGGTGATTTTATGGCTTCGTTCCTCAACACTGCACAGCTGATCTGTCCTGCTGGCCTCGTTTGCTCTACGTCGACGAAGTCGATACTAAAGCTCGTTCTTGATCGCGCCGATCCACCAATTTCCCCTGAAAAACGGGGAAAGATTCTTGAGGTGTACAGATTATTTGAAGGAAAAGGGGAGCTAAATCCTCCTGTTGAACTGAAAGCGTTTAAGATGACAACGTTAGATGAAGCGTTACAGCAGAAGACAGAAAGGCAAATGCTTCTCGGCACGTACGTACCGGAAAGTATCGATATGTCCAATAGCGATATAGGGGTGATGCCAGGCTGCCATGGGGTGGGCGATCTTCGTTTAAATTTTGATGTCACAGACTTCGTACCATTTGCTGTGGTGACTCCAGCAGAGCAAATATGCGAAGAAGCTCGTCGACTAGTCCAGGAAACGGCCGAAGAAGAAGAGAGCAACGCCGTCATTCCTGAGTTGGACGTCTCGGTTTATTACCAGAGGCGAAAGCACGTCCTTAGCGGACATGTGTTTTGGAAGAACGTACCAAATTCCACTCAGCATGATTCTAGCGGTAACTGTTCTGGTTTAAGCGATGATATTGGTATTTATAACGAGGGCACAATATACTGCTAGTAACGCGCTGCTAATTATACGCGCTTAATGGAACCATTCTTTATTCAACATTAGTTAATTATTTAGTGCGGAAGAAGCCTTAACTTCACAGAAATATTGACTGGCTACTACGTTCCTCATATTTATAGAAAAAATTGTAGGTACCTATAATGGTGATAGTAGATTCAATGTCAGACAAAATCTCATCGAGTTGAAACCTAGGTATAATTTGCTAGAGCGGACCTGCCTTTGTCGACTTCCTCAACAGTAATAAAGACTACGTTGCTCTCGAATTTCGCGTCAAAGGCTTATCTTGTCGAACGAAAAATTACTTCGGTAAACCGAAGAATATTAGTTCTAGTTGTACGTACATTGAAAGAATGGACTACACTTTATTGAGCATATAATTTTGTATATTTACTTAGTTACATCAATATTATTTATGTCTATAAAGCAAGTGTAATAGTTACGTATCGAGCCCAATGTAAACTAATCTAAATCGATATAAAATTGATGAGAAATATGAATAAAGCTTTCCTATTATGACAGTGTCTTTTTTCATATTTCTAAAAGGAACTTTAACTTTTTAAGGCGTTTACTAATTGGTATACTTACTAAGGGTGTCCTACCTTTATTGAGAATACGAAATTTGCTGTTTTTGATGAAGCCTTTTTAGTCTGCTTAAAACTTTTGATTAAGTCTACATACGCGACTAGTGGATGAACAGTGTTCATCTTGGCGCCTTATCCAAAAGACTGGAATTTGATTTTCTTTTGTAAGCGAGGTTTATATGCAGAACTAAAACACTTTGTCCAGCTACGCCTTTGTGAGTTTCAACTTACTTATTTTTTAAAATTAACTAATCATGGCTGTTATTCCTACAATACTATAAAGAGGATTTCAAGTGTAAAACTAACGAACAAACGAGTAAACGTATAAAAGAGATTGAACTACACTGAAAAAGACCTAAAAAGAACCTAGTGTATTAAGCCAGTGAAAGCTTCGTTTTTCAGGCTTTGTAGGGTTTCCGTGAGTTATTAATGTATATCAGCACAATCAAAAGTGTTCGTAACTTTACAAAAAACACACAATGAGCCTATATCTGACTTATCTTTCCTAGAGTGCTATCTTTTTACATACCGCAATATACGGTTACACTCGTTTAAACTATTTTAGAGGCTCACTTAGCTGCAAATGCTAGTATAATTATACGCCGTGTTTTTGTTTAATAGCGTTTGTATTTGTAGCAGAAGCGTAGCGCTTGTCATAATAACATATATTCATGGTTGTTGCGTTCTACCAAGCATTGTACCTACAACTGAACCAACAAGTTACTTTCTGTGCATCATGAACTCGATGTTTTTAAGCAAAACTGAGTTTTGCACGACCGAAGTTGCATAAACTGCCCGTCAGGAAAAAAACTCTATGCGTCTAAGTTGAGCATTTTAAATAGTAGCTGCCTCCACGCGAATGCGCCAATGGACAACTGATGGCGGTCTGAATCGGACCGCCACGTGAATTGCGAATTTTAAAACGCTCTGCATCGGCTGGCGTCAGCAGCGATAGCCAACCAACAATCAGTCTGGTAATACGGCATTATTATAGTTAACAACTCGTAAGTTTATAGTTAAGTTATTTGACGTAACGTTTAACGACGGTATCGGACGTAATGTTCAACGCATTTTATTTAAGGACCAGTGATGAAACCTATTCGATGAATAGCTACTTTGCCAGTGTTTAGCTATCTGTATTTATCAAATATATACACGTATTATCTGTACATCAGTTAGAACAAAAGACTTATATAATTTTATTGCAAAGGGTTGGAACGGAACTCCAATTGGTAGCCGAGAGATTTAGGTTCTCGTATTTGTTTACAGTTCCAATCGAAATTTGGGTTTACACTTGTTTCGTACGCCCAATTCATACTACAGTTTGGGCATTTTTAGGTAACTGAGTTATACAGATCATCTATATACAGCACATTTCCTTGAAAGAGTTGTGCGGAAGATGAAGCCTAGAGAACAATGTAAATTTAATTTACCGTAAACTGGTAAATACTATTGTAAAATTTACTTACTTATTTACCAATTTTACCGACTTAAAGTCTTCGGTAACTTATTGGTTCAACTCAAGATGCTCCTTTAGAACGTGTCGACTGGGCTAATTTATGGTCAGCTAAGGTTTATTGTGGAAACTTTAACTTATTACAGTTTGTCCTGAAAACTGCTGTGCGGAATATGAATCTGCCTAGGCAAATACTTTGTTCATTGAAAAAAAGGGTTTACTTTTCTGAATTTAGTTGCTTTTAACGGAAGACTAGTAACTTCTTTCTTATTCCCACATTTGAAGATAACGCGGCAGGACCAATTGCAAACACCAAGGCGGTTACGAGCATCGCCCGTGCTTAAATGTTATCAAATGTACAAATGTATATTTCTGTGACAACTGTTGTGCAAATAAGTGTCCTCAACGTGTATTGCATGAAAAACTGTGCTTAAGCTATGTTTTGAAAGTGTCTTTTAGGTTTAGACCCTATCAAGATTCTTCTTTGATAACTAGCCGTCTTTCGACGTTACTTCTAAAATATGATTTGCTTTGTATCTCTATGAAGTCATATAAAATGTACTTAATGGCAAAAGATTTAATATGTTCTGCTACTAAACTTTGTCTTTTTGTTTTTTGGTTTGTGTGTCAAATACAAAACTGTCCTGTCTGGTAGTCGTACCAAGTTGATTTTTTCTGAGTAAATAAAGTTTTATCCTAAAAAGACCTGTGCGTTGAATAGCACCTATTGATTGAATACTTTTTCGCTAGAAAGTAAAGCGCCTTTTTTCCTATAGTGTAATACCAATTTAAAGGAAATAATTATTTTCGACGTTGAAAATTTATATATTAAATTTTTTTTTGTTTTCTCAAGCTCTACAAAATGGTCGCAGCATTGAATTTAAGGGCAAAATTCAGATTTTTTTTCGCGATTTTGTCGTAAAGTGACTACCTTGGTCAAAATGATTTATAACAATTCAGTATATTTTTAGAAAGCGTAGTAGCCATAGAAAGCGTAATGCTAATTGATTAATTTGCGGAATGATTGGTAAAGAATCATTTCGGCATATATAATTCGTATTCCTGGATTAGGTGAATTATATATTTTCCGGATGGTTAAATTAGTCTAAATAGGAAAACAAGCTATAAGTAGCAGGGTATGAAGATTATAACGCTGATTCAACTGGTAAGCAGAAATGGTTGTAGAGAAACATTGGGCTGAATTAGGCAAGATCTCAGACTGCAATCTTAAAATTAAGTTGACATTTTTTCAATCAGCGAATTACATGCAACGTACTAAAAAATTAATTGCGATTAGGAAAATTAGGCTACTAGTATATTCCTAGGATATACTAGGAAAGCGGAATCATTTCAGCAAAGTAATCGATTACTATTGGAGCAAGGTCATGTAATAACTGTTCCAAACTAAGGGGTTCACTGACCCCAAGCAAAAAATTCTCTGTATTCAAGAAATATAAGAACCCTAATTATAGAGTTCCTACGGGATAACGTAATAGTATAATATCGTCTTAGGAAAACAGCAACTGGACGTTTGTGTAAGTATAGGTTAGGATTGGTGCAATAGATTACGTCACAAATCAAGTATTAGAACTAACTGGTGACATAACTGGAGCGTTGCAAAGCAGGATAACTATAAGGCTATAAATGTTGCTACTATGCCTAGTTGATTGACGCAGGAAAATCTAGTTACTGTAATGGGATCGTTGCAATGAGATAACGATATTGCTGCTCGAAACTGCTGTAAAGGTGCCTACAATCGAGCTATAATTTGTTTGGATAGACCCAGAGCGAATCAAATTCTTCCTTTTCTGGTATGTCTATCCGACTATAAGGATCCTTTATGAAATCACCTTTTTTTGTTCGGAACCTCTTGAATATCGTAAAAGCTGATGTAAACTACGCTCAGGTAAGATTTTTAAAACATTTTTTCTCCTGTTAGTCAAATTTTACACGGAGGCCTATGGAGGGTAAGCTTCTTGTTACTAATCGAAAGCTTTTGTTCTTGAAAGAAAAAAACCGTAAATGATGTTTGACGTGTAGAGGTGGTGTTCTATTTAGGAGTTCTATTTCCTATTTGTCGCTTCTAGTAGATAGATTTAGGCGGGCAGAGTAAAAACGTAATACACACTTTTGTACCTAAACTTAATGTTAAAGTACCTGATAAGACGAGCATATAGGTGATACAACATTTTTGCTATGAAAAATATCACTTTCTTAGCGGCTTTTCTCAGTGCCAATCGGTAGATCTCGACGAACAAAATATACACTATTCTACACTTAACATATATATATATCTTAGCGTGGAAAAACCAAAACTTCTATTAGTCATATTGATTTTGCGATGAAACAGTGACACTAAAATGAGGCCCAGTATGGTTTTGAGTAGTTTTCTTATGCTAACTCTAACTAGGCCAAAAGTTGAGGTGAGATGGGCAAAGTAACTGCAATGGAATAACTGTTGGTCTAAACGATTATTTATATTGGGCTGGGTATAAAATCAACAAGTCGATCAATCAATTTATGCAAGACAGGCATAGGGCAAAGCCCATGGGTCCATCTAGTAATATGTAAAAGTGACCAAGCCCCATATAATGGACAAAATGCAAGTAGGAAAACGTCGATTATGTGGATGTAACATCCATGATATACCTAAGTGCATGAAGAAAATTGCGTATGTGTATAGGTAAAGAAAACTTGCTGGCGGTTCTCATAGCATTAGTAGCTGTGTTTTGGTGTTGCTTTTCTTTTCTCTTTTACTGGCTTTCCATCAATTTGTCGTTTCAATCACTTCCGTTGCTCGCTGCAGTACCATGCCCTACTTTCCCTGTCTTCTTAATTTCTAGTGCGCTGCTACCGTTGCAAAATGCGACAAAATAAGAACAAAATAAGAGTAAAATGAGATAATGAGGAGAAGAAAGGTCGTCACTAGTAGCGGTAGTTGTTTTTCAATGATGGGTTTGAATGCCCTCGCGAATTCAGCTGAATTCTAGGTTATCTACGTCTCTCTATTTCCTAGCGTCTACTTTATGCCCGCTTCCGTTGTCGGTTCCTGTGGGTTGTCGCTTCGCCTCTACATCTGAACACGGGTCCAACCTCCACCCACAGTGCCCGACACGTTGGTAATTCTGGAGGCGGCTTAGCGGCCCAACGTACTTATCGACGAACTGGAATATGCAAGTGGAAAGAAAGTACATGCACTTCAAAGTAATTATCTTCACGGTTCCCCTTTAGTGCTACTACCGAAGTCCCGTCCAGTTTTCTGTAGGCCTAGCTTCAGAGGTTCGTTCGAAGGTCTTTCGCGGCGACTAACCTCCTTCCGCCAGCTCTATTTATCGAAGAGGCACACTGACTCAATGGATCTGCAGATTATGCATTTTACATTTCGCACAACTGTTCAATATGGTATTAATATATCATAATATGTGATACGCACCTTTTTATAAGTTAATGTACAGCACTTGTTTTGTTAATGAGCACTTTGTGTTATAAGGTTGAAACTTTTTTTTACTTCTATGTACTACACTTACGGTGCGTACTCAATCATAGTAAAGTAGATATAAGCAAACATGTTATAATCATCTTATTATTACATTAAAAGACAAAAACACCTCCAGCCATTTTGACATTTTGACCACCTCCAAAGCCTATTTTGCTATTAAGCATATTTCATTTTACTTGGATAGAGATAAAGAAAACTACTCATTTATATAAAGATCGTTTAGAAGGACTATCTAACAACTCCTATTTCGTTTTGAAATTTTTGTTGAAAAACCGTGTCTTGTAATTTCGAAAATCCTTGAAAAGGGCCGCTTTGGGTTTTGTTCTGTGATGTTTTGTTGCTGAATCACTTGCTTTTTCAAGAAACAAACGTCCTCGAGAATCGGACCTTCAGGTTTGGTCCTTTCAGTTACAGGTAGACCAAATGTGAACACGTAGTTATGTGCATGTAGATTTATAATTGAATGATATTTCTAGTTTCGTTGTTGCCTTTGAAGTAGGCTTTGACCTTCTGGGAGTTTCGTGCACGACTAGGGACAACGTATAGTTAACCGTGATTAAATACGGGTTTTTCGAAAGAGATGAAGACGTCTTTCATTGTCTGTTCTGATGCTTTGTGTATTGTCTTAAAATAGCATGGTCGTACCGGAAATCGTAATCGTAGCGGAATTTCATCGTCTTCTGATGGATTTAAAGTCATTTTTAGAAGCATAGTGATGTAATCTTCGCTGCAATAGAATCGATTTATTTGGCGTCAGCTTCATTCAGTCGCATGTTGGCAGTAAAGTTGTGTATTGAAGTATCTCCATAAGTACGATCTTTTGGCACAAACGTCTTCAATATCGGAATCGCTACTTTGATCGACTTCGAGTACCAGCTGGCTAAAATCGCCTAAACATATGGTTACAATGCCTCCGAAAGGCTAATCTTTGCTACCCATATCACGGAGCATTTTATCAAGAGCTTCGAAGACCTCTTGTCTAATAAAGGCGTTCGTCCCAAACGATGCGTGCGGTCACGCGAAATAAATTTCTAGTTTTGGCATTTTTTTGTTCTACATATTATATCCTTCTTCAGGTGGATAGGAAGCCTGAATCGTCAAGAAAGCGCAAAATTGTCGGCTGTCCATATAACAGTGCCTGCTGTTAGAAGTAAACAGTACAGTTATGAATGTGAGGTGGCCGGGAAGATTGTTTGTTTATAACTTTCTGGAGGCGTGAAAATGTTGAAAAACGAAGGGGGGGGCAAGAGCCAGGAAATGTTCACTCAAGGGTCATAGATGACAACATCAAGAAGGGGCCTAAATAGCAAGTCAAAGCGGTTTAGCCGGGTTGTCGAAGCCGAACGTTCCACTATCCGGTCAGCTTCGAAAATACAAATCGCCGGCATGCAAAATCGTCGTTATAGAACCGTCATTGGAAAAAGTAATGACGGACAGGTGGATTATGACTATTGGGTCCCACCCTCCAATGGTTGAGGACTTTGTGAAGTGGATTGCGGCAGCACTGACGATTGGAGGGCCGGCCTCTGTATGCGACATCGTAAATCACCGCAATCGTTGCCGAGGTAGTTCAAGGAGCTTGTAGCGACGCCAAACCTAGAGGAACCGCTAAAAACTAGACAGTGGAACTGTGAGGAAACTGCAATTGTAGTGCTTCTGTCTCTTGACAGCATAGACATTCTCGTGCTAACAGAGACTTGGGCAACTACCGCGTTCAATGTTCCGCGTTTAGATCCTGTGCACAGCCCTGCAACAAAGAACGACGGACCAGGCCGCCCTTGTGGAGAAATTTCCCTCCTTTACAACCATAGATCCTTACGCCGTGCCTAATGGGTAATATAGTTACTGCCTTGCGTGACCAGTGTCTATGTCTCGTAGCAGTCTAATCTGCAAAGTCGATTTGGAATCACCATACGTGCTGGTAGAGAAACTCGTCAGAGGAGGAGGCTGTTTCTGCTTTGGTCATTGCCGACGATTTTAATGCTTGCTTTGACCAGCTGAATTGCGGCCGTATTACGGCTCTCCTAGACACGCTTGCAGACTTTACTTACCAAATAGTCAATTCCATCTCGAGCCAATTTTTTTAGGACACACAGAAAATTCGATCACCCACATCTATTTATGACAAACGTAACTTAAGACGCGCTAAAGTTTCAGGATGAAAATTACTCTCTGTTTGAGGGCGCAAGCATTCGTGCTCACATACCGATAGCGATAGACCGTATTGTTCAATTTACACCTGCGCGGATTGTCAAACGCCAACCTTCGTCACAACGCTTAGATCTAGATAAGCTCCTGGAACTCATCCACAATGCTCTACCTATCTGTCAGGTGATAAGTGATGAAGCCTATGCGGAGCATTTGGTTTAATGTTCGCAAGAGTACAGCCTTTACGTACCCTTTAGAACCATAGGCCGTAGTTCAGTTTTATTTGCAGCCTTGCCCAATGTTTGCAGATGGCTTTTAGGCTAATAGTTGAGGTACAGCTTGAAATTTACCTTTTATTCTCCGTTTTTAAGACGGTCTGTCGAGAAACGCACGTATCAAGAAGAAAACAACACATTTAACGGTTGAAGACTCGTTTGATCGCCGATGCAGAATGGCAACCATAAAAGTGGCTAAAGCGCCATCGCAGCTCGTTAGCTTACCCGACTAGCTTTTCCGGCTTCATGAACTACTTCTCGGAACTGATCACGTCGAGGGATATAGCACCAGACGCGGCGCCCTTTTTCGCTGCAGTGTGGGAAAAGGTGATCTCAATGCAATGAAGTATCCTTCAAGAAACTACAGTACGGGAACTAATGCAAGGCCTTAGGAGCTTGCGCAGTAGGAAAGCTGCCGATCCAGATCTCAGCATCTGAAATGCGCAGTCGTTTTGGCCTCGTGCTGGAGGGCACTATTTAGTAATGTTTACATACTGATACACTCTTAGCCTAGTGAAGACTGCTTTCGTATTTACTGATCCCCGAAAGAAGGAGCGACCTTACCGCGCCGTCATCATAGCGGGAAATAGCAAAAAAGAGTATTTGTTATAAGTTGCTCGCCGGTCTGCTGAGTAAGAAATTCAACAGCTACTTGGAAAGCGTACATGTCATACCAACGGAGCAAGATGTATTCGTCGATTTAAAGGCAGTCTTCGACTTTGAGCCAGGACAGGGAAGGTCTCTCCATGAACGTGCTCAACCTTCTAGCTGCGATTCTACAAGGGAACAGGCCAATCATCGATGATAACCATCGATGGGTGGCGAAACTTCCGTTTTTCATACGTGTAATTGGCCTCACTCAAGGAAAAACCTAAGCCTACTCTTATTTTTCATCTTGCTGAAGGGCCTTTCCAATCGAATGGGAAGCCAAGAATATCAGTCGCAGTCATCTTGTACGCAGACGACTTAGGAGTCGAACAGGTTTCAAGTGCAGAAAGTTCTGCGCTGGTTCTTGCAGCAGTCGCATATTTGGGACTGACCGTAAACCTGACTAAAACGAAGGCGATGGAACTTATATGATGATAGTGGCCACCGAAACCTTGTATTTGACCAAATCGTTTATGTAAATTAATTTCTATACCTAAGGTCGTTCGCGAACGGCAGAAGTTTTACTGCGTACATAACCAAAAAATAAAAGAAGTGTTAGCCGCATGGGCGATAAAATCGTCTTATCGCTTGTCCCTACCAACCGCTATCAACTTGTTCGATTTCGAAGTACCTCCGACCGCAACATTTAAATCGTGTCGAAGTCTGCTTCCTCAGAAAAGCATTGACTACGCATAGTGATCCGGAATCGCCACTGGTGTTTGAGGTCCCGCATCGTCGCTTTGAGCTCCTAGAAAGTAAAATCTTCAAGGCGGATTTTAGCAACTTAGAGCGAAAATTTGCAGAGATCGACGGGGATTTCTTTGCTTTGAACGCGATGAGGAATAACGAGTGGAAAGGGACAAACCTACAAAACAGGTCGTCACTCGTTTTGCCACACATGGGTTTGACCATAGACGTTGCGGGAAATTAGGTTTCTACTACTTCTATGTCTATGCGAGAAGCGGAGAAAATGACGTCAGATGCTATGCTACTCGATGACCTCTGTACGATTTCTAGGACATCTGGCAAATCTTTCAAACCAGTTTTATTGTGTTGCTGACCTGTATTCATGAAATTTTCCACGAAGCTTTTGGTTACTACCAGCAAAGTTTAATAAAGTAAAATTTGGTTATAAACTTTAATCATGGGTGTTAAGTTCGGCTTTCAGGCATCAGAATTGCGGCGATGCTCGATCACTGCTATAACAATAACCGTTTTTAATCCTGCCTTAATTTAGCTAGGATCAAATTGATCACGAGGTTTTTTACATGTTGCTCCCGAAGAAAATCACTAAGTCCTTGCTTTTTGTAGGCAATCATAGGCATCGTTATAGTTATCTTAATTGACCATTTAAAAGTGGTTCACATATATTTTAGTACAGTTTCATCCTGTTCCGTAGTGCCTAATTAGAGTTCTTGTAGGATTTTGATGGGATTTTGATGCTTTCGTTTTTCTGGTATCGATGTAATGAAATTATAAACTGAAATATTCCAAATTCTCAATTGAGTCCTTTACCTTAGTGTAAGAATATACGAGTTTCTTTAGAATGTATGTGAGGACATGTCAAACTGTGCTTCGATAGCTAGGTTGTATGGCGATAGCCTTGAGTTATTGCATTCCTAAAAAAAAATCTCACACGTTTAACAGGTCGGTAACGTCTTTTGTCATTAGCATAAGCATTAACAAATCTCGACTACCCAAAACATCCACCTTTATCCAACATTGTCGTTCCATTCTCGATAATCGTGTCTGGCAATAACCGTTTTTGAGATATAGTCCTTTGTGGGCGCAAACTTTCTTCAATGCGGTACTCGTGTGTGTGTTGTGAGCGATCCAAGGATGTAGACCTATGAACATGATGAGGCAGAAGTCTTAGTCGATTTCTTTCTAACGGTACCATCCCATTAGCTCTATAGGGCTGTATAGTTTTCGGTAGTAAGTGAAAATAATGAACTGGGACGGACGTAAAATTTCGATGCATAGGCGCGTAGCGTAGTTTTCGCCGTTATGAACGCCGTTAATTTTGTAGGTTTTTTTTGAGTTGCGTAGATTTGTTTCAAAAATGCATAATGTTTTTGCAATTAAGTCGCTCGATAAACGAGTATCGCCTACGGATCGGGAGCATTTGAGCAAATGCTTTACATGGTCCTGTGTATTGCCTGTCACGGTACTACTCGATTTTATACACATTAAAGATAGTTTTTCTTTACACGTGCATTTCGTAGTACAGTTGATTGATTTGACCGATAAGCATATTTCAACGTCGAAGTCGCCACTGAAGGTCCGGCATTGTATGGGACAATCCATTGTGACATAGTGTGCTGTAGCTCTTTTTATGCCTCACAAAATCTTCCAGCTTAGAAGAAGGTTGCTTGTATACGGTAAATGCGTCTTCGCTATACGTCATCTATGTTCGGCGTATGGCTTTGAAAACCCCTTTAAGTATTAATCGCTAAAAGCGCACATGAATTGTCTGCACGTCAAGGGCCATGGACCATATGCCTTAATACTAATCTGTTAGGTCTCGACTTTGAGGTTAGATTCGGAATTTCAGTTTGCATAAATGTACTCTGTTTTGTCTTATGAGAAGGTTTTTTTCGACTGAAACGTTCTTTCGGTTAAATATGGTCAATCTTCCGGTGTTTGGTTTTCAGTAAGATGACCTATAATTTAAGGTCAGGGCCGATTCCGTCACCTTCATGAACAGTGGTGCATTTCCATACGTTCAAATGTGCGTAATGGAGTCCTGTCTAAACTCTGCCCTTGAATAATGATGAGAAAAAAAAAACCTTTAGTAACCGTCTAAAAAAACCAAATGTACCGCCATTATTTATGGCGCTTAACTAAGTTCTTTACAAGAGTGCCGTGGAGGGTTTTGCTTGTCTTAAATATAGGTGATGTGTTCAAACACATCCTTTATAGCTGGTCTGACCAGGTATTGTTGTAAGAGACAACTTGCATATGGTTATTGAATTGACTCTCATGACTCATTGCTCAATTTGCATAATATCTTTGTGTTTCGCCTTGTGCTTATGATTTCGTCGTACGATAATCATTCAATACGAACAGTAGTACGCACCGTAAGCAGTCATAGGATCAATATGATTCCGAAATTATCTATGATTTGTTCGTTTCCTGTTTCCATCATTTTATTTACGGGAGCTGTTTTGGTAACTGTAGGGTGATTTATCGCAGGGCTGTATTTGATCCGGTTGCATCAATCATTTCTACTTCGCCCTCTACTGGAACGTCGTACGTTCGTTCGTCTGTAGTGGTCATGTATCCGGATTGATACGCGCTTCTCGTAAATATCTAATATATTCTGTAGCTGTTGTTAAGTGCTGGATATGAAAACAAAAAATAACTGATTACAAGTACTTAAATTCTGGACAACTGAGGTTCTATAGGCGGCACTCAATGCTGTCTTGCAGACCCATAAATTTGAGACTGCGATTCAACTCGATAGTGAATCGCATCTAAAGACTGAATAAAGACGGAATAAAGACCTGTAGATTCCGTCATCAGGACGGCGTCCCAAGTGACATTGGATCATATAATCTGAAATAGACAACCGTACTGTTTGATATTTTTGTTAAAAGGCCATTGATGGTAGCGCATTTCTTGCGTACGATTCATTCAGTTCTTCAAACAATTGGTTGTCAATATATTTAGTTTTTTCTTTTGCACAACAGGAACTTGCAATTTCATGTACAGGCACATACTGGCCATTTTAGTGACGTTTGTTGAGACTGTTTTGTCCTCGCTTATTTTTCGTCGTTTACGGCTTTCGACTTTAGCAACACGTCCATCACTTACGTTTCTGTTGGTTTATTTGGCCTGAAGGTTTGTTTTCTGTAGCGATCTGCTTCACGCCGAACATTTGGATCCTCTTCTGTTTTGGCAACTTTCTTAGCCTTCTTCCCGACTGATCTTTCTCGGCCATTGTTTTTAATCGTTTCGGCATGTACAACTAATCACTAAGCTGTAATTCTGATAGGCGCAGAACTTCGTAGCTTCGTCAGCGGTGTAGTTTGAACACAGTTTACATGCAACACACACTGGTTACAGATGTTCATACAACATAATTTTTACACTAATGACATATCATCGTTGACGATGCCGTCAGTCGCCCGGGTGTTTGTTAACGCTGCACGGCGCAATTTTCAAACATGGAAACGAAAAAGAAGTTGCTCTTGAATGCCTATAACCAACCAAATCAGTATTGCGCTTTCCGTCTCGAAAAGGCAAACCTTTCTTTTAAGAGAAAAATAATTTGGCTAATCGGCAGCATCTTTCAGATTCTTTCGGTAATCTCCAGCAACATGTAAAAAATCAGTTTACCAGGATCACATTAAGAGGCCTTTCTGGTGAGGTGATAAACGATTTGACATGTTCTCCAGTTTTAGTGTTACCGTTATTATCATACCGTTATTATCACACTCAACCATGGTATCCCATTGCCCAACAGCATGGACTGACACTCAAAGCCTAGTTTTGACGTAGGCCTAATTATTAGTTCCTAGTATATCTATGTTACCTTTTCTGTGAAAGGAACGAATTAAATAGTTTATATTCCGCAGTCTCTCTGAAGCATTTGTTCCGAGCCAGGATGAAATATCCGAATCAGTGAGTCTACTGAATAGATTGGATTGGATTGGATCTGGCACCGTGACAAAGCGTTCTATAAGGTTCTGGTAACTGTACACTGGGTCAGGAGGGAAAGCACGAGTCGATGTATTTGTGCGTTGGCCTATCCATTGACATGTGTGAAATGTTACAGTACATTTGCATACCTATTATCCTATCTGTACTGCGAGATATTGTATAGCAGTCGACGACTCGTAGCACTGAGAAGTGTTCAAAAATAGGTACCAATTAAAGTCGGCTTTGCCCTTTTACGCTCGCTGCTTCAGCATGGAACGTTGTCGTTCATGCTGAAAACATGCGTAGCGCTTTGTGAAAAAAATAACCAGTGAATATACTTAAACCGTATTATTCCTTATTGTAAGTACTTGGATATATGAGCTGATCATTCCCGAGAAGAGCGTGGATGTCCGGCCAATGGCCAATGCCATTGGCCAGAATCACGTGTACTCGTCCTGTTAACGAATGGCTCAGGTTTTTGATTGCATTTCACTACCCACGCTTGCTATACAAAATTCCAATTTTTTTTACCTACCTAGAGATGTAGATGGTCACGACCTGATCTGTGATGTTTCGTGAAAAAAAAAGATACAGATTTTGAAAAAGCTTCTATGACAATAATAACTTGGCAATGCTTAGTTAGTACGGCTAACTTAAACAGCATCGCCTAAATCTGCAGCAATAGCAAAGGTCATCTTCATAGTAACAAACCAATAGCTTGCTGATTCTATTTGGAAACCAGATTGAATGCGGTTATTTTCGAACAAGAAATTGTTATTTCTTTTTAATTCTGTTGTTCACTAATTTAATAAAGGATAGGGCGTTTTTTATACAATGCGTATATTTAATAAATAATTAATTAAGTTTTCTGCAAACTTAAGTTAAATATGGACAAAATAAGGACGCGGTCGTTTATCCTTATGTTGTGTGTTGTTTCTACGACATGTAGCAATAAATACTATCTGTAGGAAAACCGATCGTCCAGAGTCATCGATTACGGCACTGGCCCTGATTCTTAGAGTTGTCCCATTTATTGACCTCGTCATCTGTGGCAACCTCGATCGGTAAAAGCGGCATTTGCACATCCGGGTCGGCTGGTACCACTTGTTGGGTGCCCAATTGAGTAACAGACACATGTTACGATGTGTAACTGCAGAATGGGTTGGAAGTTATATTTATCAGCATCTATAGATATAAGAAGCGCATTTTTGAATATTTATGCGACAGGCTCCATTTGAGCGAAAATTGCACTCAAATTATGTACAGCCTTCTGTATATTAGATAGAGAATGTAGCTACCTTGGTACAGTTGCCACAGTTACGAAAACATTATGGTAATGTCAATTTCAAAAAAGAAAAAATACTTCAATTTTTTAATGATGCGGTTGAGGCCTTCCACTTCCAATAACCCATTGGCAATCAATTGACGATTTTTGCCAGCCATATATTTGCTGTTCAGAACCGTAAGGTTT